TACTTCATAAAATATAAATAAAAACGTGACCTTTAGTCAATGTTCGTTTCGTTTGATAGATACGAAAACCCATTTCGTATAATATTTTCAGTCTGTTTGAGGCACTTTCCCCGGCACTTTTCCCCAATTTATCCCCCCCTTTCTTTCTGCCAGCCATTTCATACTCATTTCAACATTTATGTGCAATTTTTATGCGCCACCTGCCAAGCGCTTTAAGCAAGCTACACCCCCATCTACCCATTGCCCATAATCCCGAGCCCCACTCGCATGCACAAATAATTGCAACATATTAATAATGTCTGCGACCATGCCCCCCTTTTGGCCGCCCTCTCTTTTATGGCTTTCAATTTGATGCGAGCAGTTAATAGCCCAAACACAAAGCCAAAGGAAGTTGAAGGGTGGGAGTTGGAGTGGCAGCAGCGAGGTTAGCGCAGGAAATTGCATGAGATTTAACAAATTTTTCTTGACTCCCCGGGAAGACAAAGATATCCCGAAACCTCCCCATCCTTCTCCTCCTGCTTCTCCTTAAACCCCCGCCGTTGGCAACTTTAATATGAGCTTATTGGCTTTTGGTAGCTGCCACCATACCAACCCACCCAGGAAAAAAACAACAAAAAAAACAGGAGACAACTCTTGGCTACAAATTTTGACGAGCTCAGCAATCTGAACACGCATGTGGCAGATGCTCCAGAGGCGCCGAGGCCGGGTGCCTCAAGGGGGGGCGACCAGAACTGAAAACACGTAGTTGGTAGCAGGTCCATCGTCTCCCGTCACGTTATACGTAACGTAATGAGATTTTGCGGCAGCTTTGTGCATTGCGGCCAACGCACCATGTTCCACTTTTGGGCCCAGTGTCCCTGTTCCTGTTCCTGTCCCTACCCATGTCCATGTCCGTGTCCGTGTCTGTGTCCTGCTACCTGGCTGGACGTCGAAGGTGTTCAAAAGGTCCTGTCAATATTCCCGATTAAGGTCCGTCTTACGTGAGCTCGGCTATGCACAATCTATCGGTAGGAAAAGCAGTGCCAAATGGAACGGAACGTGCTTAAGGAGGTGCCAATGGGAGCTAGAGAGATTAAAACTCGCAAAGAATTCTTTAAATTTAAATTTTGGAAGCCATTTAAATGGGTGTCTAAAATAAAGCTTAAAAATGATCGATATTTTCGATATGTTGACAATATCGATGTTTTGAAGGGAATACTCAAATTAAATGTCGAGAAATAGCAAACTGTCGATATTTTGTAGGCTCTACTTTGAAACCAATCAGGTGGGTGTCTAAAACTCTAAACCCTTCTTGATGATACCAAAAAGATATAGAAGCTTTAATGTATGCCCCGATAGTCAATTTTCCTTTTCATCCGATCATACAAATGTTCAAAGATATAAGAGAGTATCAAAAAAGCCGCAATAGTTTATAAAAACGGTTAAGTATGTCCAAAAGTATGATATGAAAAAAAAACCTTCTTTGGGTATAAAACTCTTCTTGATGATATCAAAAATACATAAAGATTATAACCTCTGGCAGCCTCGATAGTCAATTTTCCTGGTCTTTTGTTCTTTCTTATTTTTAAAGATATGAAGGAGATGCAAAGAAATCGCTAGGGGCTTTAAGTAACTTTTAAATCTGTCTAAAAGTGTGCTACGAAAAAATGTTTTCTTTTGGATTTATAAATTATTTTTTTTGTGAAATAAGTGCACTCCTTTATGTGCTTAATCTTTAATGTTTTCCAGGAACTTAAAATTTGTATTGCCTTTGGATTTTAAAAAAGCTTTGAAGCTTATCAAGCTCCTTTAATGATATATACGGATAATTCGCTTAGCTGAGTGTTCGCTGTAAATCGAGTCGTTTGGCCAATGCTATGGGCATTATTTTTCATCATCACCATCCGTACATCCGCATGACATGACAATTACCAAACCAAATCCGGGACACAATTAAGGTCGCTGGTCGACTGCTACCGTAAGACCGTGCGCAATGGGAAACTACCATTTCCATTTGGCCGACATCATAAATGCCGGGAAATTTACTTAACGCTAATGCGCTCAGCGCCCAAAGTTAAAGCCTAATTACGTTAAAGCCAAGAGATGTCAGCTAAGGAGCTCAGCGGCAGACAGACGGGCGACAGAATCTCCTGGCCATCTTCAGCCAGACAGACACCTTGTCCAACTACGCAGACCACAGACAGACGTTCACACCGGGCCACAAAAAGAAGGAGGATGGGGGGCTTGAGGTTGCCAAGCTCTGGCAGTCCATAAATATCTATCTGTCGGCAAATCTTGGTCGCAACTACAACTTGGCCAGCAGAACGCATCTGTTTATGCTTCGCCCTGCCTTGCTGCTACCCTGTAGAAGGTATGCCAGGTCTATCGAGCTAATTGAGTTCGAGTTTAAGATTTCAAGTCACTTAGAACGCTGCCTGAAAGTATGCAGTGAAAAGTTAAAAATGATCATCTCTATCTTCTAGCCATCATATGTAAATATATATGTAAGCCAAGATCTAAAGTATACTTTTGGGTCCTGAAAGTATGGTTTTGAAATCTCTAAGGTTGTAAAAGAGCTGATGATTTAAAGGCTCTCAAAAAGATGTGGTTTTATAATCATAGTTGTATATTTAATACAACCTTCTTTTGGGGACCTTTTGAAGTAGACCTTGAAAAAATATCGACAGTTTGCTATATCTATTTAATTTGTGTTTTCCCTCAAAAATATCGATATTATCGAATCGATATCGTCAAAATATCGTTAATTTTGAAGGGGATTTCAAATACAGCACACTTTTTGGGCCCCTTTTGTAGTGGCTTTCAAACCTCTAGAGACCAATTCCATTTACCTAATAGATCCTGTTAGTTAACCAAAATATATTTTATGGGAATACCAGCGAATACTCAAGGGTATTAAGGGAATTGTTTCCTGGTGCTTCGATTCGTTCCTTGGCCTTCCTTTTCAGTTGAGTTTAGTTCGGTTCGGTTGTTGTTTCGCCCGTTGTTGTTTGGCATTGTTTGCATTAGTTGCTCTCGGTTGTTGTTACTGTTGTTGGTGTTTTTGGTTCTGTTACTGTTGTTGCTGTTGGTGGTGCGATGGTGGTGCTTTGCTTGCTGCTGTCGCCTTGGCATTGTTCTTGGATTGGCATTGTCATTGTCATCTGGGGCAGCGTCCTTGTTGGTCCAGCACGTTAATTGTTTCACGTTCGGATTGGCCTCAACTCGGATTGGATTGGATTGTCGCAGCGGAGAATGGAGAGTGGTGAGCAAAGACGACGACGACTAGGAACTCTATTAGTTTTAATTAAACAGCTGAGCGTCTTAGCCAACTAATTATAGTGAATGCCAGGGACGGCGAGCGAAAGGGATGCCCCAGTCCAGTTTTAATCATTGTAATTAATGTGCGCTTGTTAATAACAATTAAATGCGTTTTTTTTTCGTTTTCGCCGCCTTGAAGCTATATATATATACGTTTTTTATTCCTACTTCTTGGGGCTTGAGCCACGGCTCGGCTTTGGCTTTGTCTCGAGCATTGCCTGGCAACACAATTAAGCATTTAATCAATACAATTAAAGCCTTGGGCTCAAGCGAACATCATTAAAAGAAAGGAGCGGAGCTGAACGGAGCGGAGCAACAAAGGCAAACGGTCATATAAAAATAAACATAAAACAAAGCAACAATTCGAGCAACCCAAAAAATACAAAAAGCAACAGCCGCCAAAGAATGGCGGCAAATAAAGAATCGCCAAACTCCGCAGCAACAGGAAGACAATTGGAGATTCGACCTCTAGACACCCTAATTATATAATCTGCATATTTGTCCTCTTTTCTGGAGCCTTGAGCCTTTGGATTAGCTTAAAAAAATAGTGAAGCATTTCTTTGTAAAAAGAGCGACTTTTTTCCCGAAAACTCTTTTCAATTTCTAAAAAAAAATTCAGTATATTTTTAGCACCACCTAAGTAAGCTTGACGCTTTGACCAAACGTTGCATACTTTTAGTAACTCATGTAGGAGGTTTTAATCTGTGCATTATAATTTTTAAACTTTTTCCCTTTTTTAAAAGTTAAAGCCCTTTATTCTATTTCCAGGGAATACAGGAATACTAATTTTTTAACTTTTTCCCAATTTCTTTAAAAGGTAAAGCCTTTTATTCTATTTCCAGGGAATACAGGAATACTTTTGACTGATTTTTCTGATTCCTGGAAACTCAAAAGGGAGTTAACAATTTTGTGTTTTTGCTCGATCGATGCGTGGGTGCGACGAGTGCATCGGTGTTTTGGATTATAGTGCCAAGCGACCCCGAGAAGGCGACAAGTAGGGGGTGGTGGGCGGTGGTTCGGGGCGGTTGGTGAATGGAGCAGTGCGAAAGCTGGATTAAAACTTTTTCTAGGAACCAAATTTAAGCCGCACACAAGGATGCCCGAGCTCGAGCTGGAGCTCCGCCCGAACTGCCTTTATCCTTTGGCAACTAAATCCCCAGTGCGCGATGCCTTTTATGACTTGGCGGGGAAAACGAGGGGGGCGGAAAAAAAGGGGGGTTGAAAAGGAAAAGCGGCAGAAAAAACAGTGCAAGTTTTTACGCAAATAAACGCACGTATTTCACAACTTTTCGCCACTTTCGTTTTCATTTCGGCATTCCTCCTTTTTGTCTTTGTCGTTCGTCGTCCTCTTTTTTTACCTTTTTTTTTGGAGGGGTACGGGGATGGGTGGTTGGAAAATGCTGAAAATTCGCTGCTAATGGAAAATAGTAATTACAATAATTTGCCCGCTCGTTTGCCTTTCTTTGTCCGGCCTTTCGGCCTCCTTACATATTTTTTGCCTCCGCTTTTCTGCCTTTGCATTATTCATGCGATAGCTGCAGGTGGCAACGGCAAACGGTAAAAATAATAACCAGCATTAAGCCGTCAAGTGGGCGGGTTTCCCAGCTTCCCAGCTTTCCCAGTTTCCCAACATCCCAACGCTATCTGTTGCTCGTGTGGGCGTGTGGAAATTAATAATAAATCAAAATTAAATGCTTGCTTACTTGACACTTTGGCTTCCTCTCCTCCGGCTCGTTTTTTTATTTTCGTGCGACGTGTCCGCTCTTATTTTATTACTTTCTGCTGAGTTTTACGTTTTATTTATTTATTTTTGCTCCGCTTTTCGCTTTGCTTTGCTGAGGCACCGGAAAAAAAAGAAAAAAAATACAGACGTTTGTTTTTGAAAGGCAATTAGTTCCGGCGAATCGAATAGGGAAAATCGGTGCTTCTCTTTTATTAAAAATCAAAAAATCCAAATAAATTAAAATTTTTTATATATTTATACTGGACTAAATGGGGGAAAACAGGCTGAGGAACTCAACTCCCTCGCTATTAATATAAATAAATAAATAGGTAAAAAAAAGGCAATTAAAAATCCCACGTTTTTTTATTGTAATTTAATAAATTATATTTGTTTAAAATTCTAGTAGAACCAAACAATTCAAATATAAAATTATATATAATTTTATATATAATTTTATATTTTTATTCCACCCGCTCCTACTTTTTCTTGTAATTTAATACATAATAATTAAATAAATAGGTAATTAAACTGTTCTATTTATTACGAAACAGCCCTTTTATATGGTTTCCGTCCCGCGGCTATGCAGTGCAAATATGAACAGCAATTCAATACAAACCAAACCGAAAGGGCTGACACCAGAGTCAATATGAAAATTCCGTTTAATCCGGCAATTATCTGCATTGGCTGGCAAACAATGCGAATGCGACCAGCAGTCAGTTCTCGATTCTCCATTCTCAGTTCTCAGTGGGAGTATCGAAGGCATTAAGATGCCCCGAACTCGATTATCACCCCATTGCCTAACAATGGCATCAATCAGTCTCCAGTCGCAGGGGGCTTATACATACTACATATATATATTCTTTTCAATTAACACCCCCACCTACCGGTCATAAATAAAAAATTGACAAAATAACCTCCCTCGCGCCCAATCAAATTTATGATTTTCCGGCACTTTGTTTTTCCTGGCACTTGTAAATTACAAACAATCTAAAAAAAATACAAAAAACCTGGGTAAACATGCTTCATGACTTTTACACGATTTTAATGCGCTCTCAAACACTCTCAACATCACAAAACAAAAATCGGCAACAACTTTTATCTCGCTGCTTCTTTTTTATATGCTCACTTTTATGGAGTTTGTTACAAAAACCGAAAAAAAATCAGAACAACAAGAACGCAACAGAACAAACAAATTTATCAAATGTCTGGGTTGATGTGGGATATGTACACTTTCGATTTACCATTAATTGATGCAGGAAATTCACTTGATTCGCAAATCGAATTGATCGGAAACGTAATCGAAATCGCAATCGAAAACAGAATCGAAATTTTAATCGGTTATTTGTGTGTGGTGTTAATAGCGACGGATTAGCGCCAGGTGCTTTTTTGGCTAGATGGCTGATGGCTGATGGCTGAGATGGTCGAGCCGAGTTCAACTTGTTGTCGCGTTGCTGCCCAAAGAGCAGTGAATCCTGGCTCGCAGAGGCTGAGGACTCGACTCGATCCGAGGATGTGTGCGGCCAGCAGCGACGACGATGTGTACGAGAATGAACACGCGAATCCCGAAAGCCGAGCGGCGGCAGCAACAGCAACCAACGGCGGCCGAAAGGACCCGACGAGTCCTTGCCCCAAACTTCGTCGGCTGGTCGAATGGGAAAGGAGAGGGGGCGCGTTGCAGCCTCATCATCGCTCTGTTGGTGTGCGTGTTAAGTGTACGTGTGTATCTGCCAGCAGCGGCAGACGCAGCAGCAGCAACAGCGTCCGACGAAAGACACTGCGAGAAGCAATCGAAGGGATATATTTGAAAAATCCTAAAAAATGTTTTAGGAAAAAGTAAGTAAAAGTTTTGTTTAAATTTGTAACAAAACAAGAGAGAACGCTATAGTCGGGTGCCCCGACTATCAGATACCCGTTACTCAGCTAAAGGGAGTGCGAAGAAGATGGAGATAAAAACTTTGATCCGCCGTAACTTTTTAACGAATAGTCCGATTTAAAAAATTTCTTCTACATTTCGATAGGTATTCATAAACACAATAAAACTGCATTTTTACCTTTTCAAAATATTGAAATTTTTAAAATCGTATATAAGCGATTGTGCGCGTTAGAGGGGGCGTGGCACCCTTTTGAAACAAACTTGCGCTGCGTAGGAACTCCTAGAATCTGCATGCAAAATGTCAATCTTCTAGCTTTTATAGTTTCCGAGATCTCAGTTCATACAGACAGACAGACGGACAGACGGACAGACAGACGGACAGACGGACAGACGGACATGGCTAGATCGACTCGGCTAGTGGTCCTGATCAAGAATATATGTAGTTTATAGGGTCGGCAACGCTTCCTTCTAGCTGTTACATACTTTTGCACGAATCTAATATACCCTTTTACTCTACGAGTAACGGGTATAAATAGGCATCTTTAAAAGACGTTTCTAAAAACAATTAATGAAATATTAAAAAAACTTGGACCGGTGCTGAGATAACGAAATAAAATACCATATTACTTTTTAAATGGTTCACTGCCAACACCAAAACGCACAAAATAAAAAAAAATTTTTAGCTGCCCATCAAAATATATATGTTTACAAAACTTTAAACACTTCTTAAATTGTACAATTTTGTTCAATTAATTTAAAAAATCGATCAGCCTTCAAATCAATTTTTTATTCCTTGCGAAATTTATACTTAATTTAGTAGGCATTGCTATTCATTTTTAATGAAACCATTGTGGAAGGCCCAAAACATAAATTTTGTCATTTTTTCGATCTGGGTAGGAAACTTTCTATTTGGGAGAGAACGTTTTTCAATTATTAAGCATATTTATGAGTTTTTATTGATTTTATAAAAACAAGAGAGAACGCTATAGTCGGGTTGGTGTCTCGACTATCTCATACCCGTCAATCGGCTAAAGGGAGTGCGGGGGAGATGGATATATAACATTTTTTTGATTGCGTATAACTTTTTAATAAATGGTCCTCTTGGGTGCAGCGTAAAATTTTCGGGCAATGAAAATATAAATTAAATAATTTTTTTTAATATGAATACAAGTTCGAAGCCATTTTTCCTAATTCCATATTTGTATGGAAGTTTTTAAGATCCTATTTAAGGTATAAGAAAAAACATTTTTTTTAAGTCGAGTCTTAGAGTCTTCGAGTTGGCTTCAAAGTTTATCACCCATACGCACTATTGCCTCCGATCAAAAAGTTTTTCTAATCAACGTGGCATAGATTTTGATGTTAAGCTCTCCCCATTTTTAACCAATTATTCCAAGAAACTCTTAATTTGACAAGACTAGAAATTGGTGAGCGATTTGTTCGACCAAATTTGAACTGTTATACGTGTCGTATGTGTAATTTTCAAGAATGGATACGTTTCGCAAGTTCTAAATCCCGACAAAAATATGTGTTAAAGACAAAATTAAGAAATCTTACAAACTTCAACAAAATTTCAAAAAATATACAAGTTACATAAATGAGTACTTAAAAAAAAATAACATTTCTACATTATTAACTTAAAAATGTTCTTTACTCTTACTTATGCCAGTCTTGTAGTAAAAAACGATAAGAGAATTACAAAAAATTAAAAACTAATTTATTTCTACCGACAAACTGAAAGTAAAGTGAGCATAATAAATATTTAAAAGTAAATTCATTTTATTTTGTAGCACTAACAGTAGTAACCGTTGTAAGCAACATTATAAAGTTAATTTTATTAAAAATAGGCTTGAATAATTAAATGAATTTAAGTAAGCTTACCAAATTTCTCGCTGTGCAAGAGCAACAACAAGTGGAGCGCTTTTTATTTCGGCACTCGGCTCGTCCGCTGCATTCGTCTTCCTGCTCACTCGCTCGCGCCCTCTCCTTCTTCCTCCTGCTTTTCCGCTTCCTCCTCCTCGCACACACACATACACGAACACACGCAGACCGAGGAAGTTCGGCGTGTATGTATGCGTCTCGTTGCGCCTCGTTATTGGTTTCGGTTTCATTTTCGTCTGCTTTTTCGTTTTCGCTTTCGCTTGCGCCTTTTGTCTTGCTTTTGCTTTTGCCGTTGTTGTTTTACTGTTGTTTTTACTGTTGCTTTTGCCGTATGCCGTGTATGCCTCTTTTTTCGGTTTGCTAAGCTCCCACTGGGTGGCGCCACCAATTAAAATATTTTTCACAAATTAAACAAACACAAAATAAATCCGACAAGCACAAAAATAAAAAACAAAGCAAAAAACACACGGCAAACGTTCAAAAGTTGTACACAAACACACAGCACTTTAATAAAGTTGGGCACACATTACATACACACATGTGCACACATACATATGTTAGATTTTCATTAAGCAGATTTTGGCCTTTTCCGCTGTGGGTCAACAAAGTTTTTACCTTTTTGTTTTTCTTCTCTAGTTTTTAATAAGCCAAAAAGGCGGGGGAGCGAATAGAAGTAGAAGGTGAGCTGCCAAAGTTCCATGGCGAATTCAATTACTCAACGGGAGAATTTTGAGAATCTAAAGATAAGAGATAAACCTGTACCAAATACTTTAGTATTTAGCAGGGTCAGGATTTTTAAAGGGTAGGTTTAGGTTAAAATTCTTTTATTACACCTTAAACACTACAGTTTACCAGATACCACATTTTTAAGTTCTGGTTAGGATATACAAAAAATTTGCATCTTAAAATTACACAACATATAAAAATATAATAAATTTTTTAGTATTTTTAAGGGTATGCAAGATTAAATTCTTGTATTATACATTTTAACACCGCATTATATAAGGAGTTTACCAGCCAATGTTAAAAGGATACCACACACTTAAGATAAATATATAACCAAGATATATAAGATATTACCTAAATAGTTATATTTTTTTTTTTAAATTTTTCTTCAAGGTATTTTATCCCAGGTAGGTAAGGTAACCTGCCTAAAAGACCCCACATATCAATTAGGGTACTCAAATAAGATTCTCTTTCTTTTTCTCCTCTCACCAGAAAGCACTCTCTCCTGATCTCCGAAAATAGAATAATATGTGCGTCGTGCCGCGAATGAAAACTCGCTCAGTAGACAGCTGCTTATAGAATGGATCTGTTGTTCCTCAGCCGGCGAATTTTTCTGGGCGATGGCAGTCATAACTCCCTGATCCATGGCGGCATTATCGTGGACACGGAGGGCATTATACGAAAGGGTAAGTCTAAACTCCATAGTATATGATATGATATGATATGATATATTTTTCGTTAGTGCTGCGATCGCCCCAGGAGGTAAACACCTATCTGTACAACACCGAATCCGAATCGGTCTATGACTTTGGTGACCTCGTCCTGCAGCCGGGTCTTATTGATCCCAATGTGCATATCAATGAGCCGGGCCGAAAGGACTGGGAGGGTTTCGTCTCGGCCACAAAGGCGGCTGCCGCCGGTGGCTTCACCACCATCATCGATCGACCCACCAATGCCGCCCCACCCACCGTCAGTGTGGCGCATCTGAAGGCCAAAACATCGACGGCCCGGGGAAAGATCTACGTGGACGTGGGTTTCTGGGGCGGCCTCGTTCCCGGCAACGGAGATCAGTTGGCTCCGCTGCTGGCCGCCGGTGTCATGGGTCTGCAGTGCACACTATGCGATCCGGCGTCCCCTGTCGACCAGGAATTTCCAGCCGTTAACGAGGCGCAGCTGGAGGAGGCACTCTGCCGTTTGGAAAAGGATCAGGACGAAGGCGAAACTGTCGTAGCGGTGAGTAGAATTTAATTAAAACTCGTTAAAAAATAAAAACAATTATAGAATTCATACAGAAAAAATTCGATATGAAATAGGGTAAATTCTACCTTACTTCATATCAATAAAATATGACAAATTTATGATTCAATCATATCAACATGATATTTTATTATATCATATTAAATACCAAATTTAGTATTTTATTTTTAAAGTAATGTAAAATAAGATCAAATTTGTCTTTATTCTTATCAAAATGATATAAAAAACTTGATCTTCAAAAAATATAAAATTGACCAGCACATATCAATCTGACCTTTTTTTTAGTGTGTGATAAGGTATTCAAAACATCAGATTCCAATCATAAACTGTTCTTCTGAATTCATAATAAAATTTAATGTAAAAAAAATAATTATTATAAATAAAAGAATACAAATAATCCGATTTCCAGTTAATATTAGTGTTAAATTATTGGTTCAGATTAGTTAAGTAAAGATAGTTTTTAAGAACATATTTTATTTGTTTTTATCAGGGACCGTAAATAATCGTTATTTGAGATTTTTATTTTAAAAGGCCTACTGAGATTTGTACAAGCTTTAATCAACAATTTAACTGGTTTTTATGCACTTTATAGACATAAGCAAATAACAGTTCATTTGCTTTCCAGATTTGTTGACATGTAAAATAACGTTATTTTTGACGTTTTAAACAAAACATCACAGTAGTCTTTTTAAAATAAAAATCTCAAATAAGGATTATTTACGGTCCCTGGTTTTTATTCGAATTATATGTGATAAGGTATTCCAAACATCAGATTTCAAGCATAAAGCGTTCTTCAGATAAATGTACTTTTCTTATATAATAATTTTCTTATATTTTAAAACATTGAAAAATATGTTAAAGTTACACTTTTTAAATAAAAATGATAATATACGATAAGTAATATGGTAAGAACTTAGAAGTAGATTATACAAAATCTTGAAACTGCATAGCTGAAAACTTAGATGTAGAAATTTAGCAAAATTTTGAGTGCCTGCCTTTCCACAGGTTCATGCTGAACTGCCGCTGTCCGGCGAAATCCAACCGAACGAGGAGGCGCCGCCGCGGGAATATGGCACTTTCCTGGCCACCCGACCGCCGCAGATGGAAATTTTGGCCACCCAGATGCTCTGCCGTCTGTCCCAGCGTCACCCGCGGCTCAAACTGCACATCCTGAACGCGAGCAGCGGCCAATGTCTGCCCCTGGTGGCGGAGTGCCGCCGGCAGGGCGGCCAAATCAGCCTGGACACCTGTCCGCACTATTTGCACCTGGCCGCCGAGGAGGTGCCCGAATGCGGGACGGAGTTCAAGACATGGCCACCGATTAGGGAGCGCGGCAATCAGGAGGCATTGTGGCTGGGACTTCAAATGGGCGGAGCCATACGGATGATTGGCAGCGATCACTCGCCGGCGACGCCAGGCGCACGCGCCCTCACCTGCGGCAGGGGGCGTGGCAACTTCCTAAAGGCCTGGCCGGGCATCAACTCACTGCAGCTCAGCCTGCCCGTCGTCTGGACGGCAGCCAATCAGCGGGGTAAGCACTTTGCACCCACCTCATTAACGCTAAATATCAAGCATACGCAGCGTATGCATCATAAGGGGTATATTTTTGAGCGTGTGCAAAATCAAAGGCACTTCTGGGAAGCCATACGAGCGCATTCACAATGCACACGAGTGTTTGTCCAGAATTCCAGGAAATTCTATTTTGAGCGTTCTGTTCTTTTCGTTCCTAGGAAAAACATAGATACTTCATATCTGCTAATTGGAATAACAACTTACTGCCTCCATTCTACATTGATTTGGGCAGTTAATTGCAGATTAATTTTTACGGTAATTGAAATGGTTCATTTTTAATCGTTTTTATAGCAGTTTTTCCAAATTTCAGAGCATTTTTTCGATCATTTGTCTTATTTATTATAGTCATTTAGTTGTATATATTAGGATGATATAGAGGATGTTGAAGAATAAAACATTACCATATTTAAGCCAAAAAATACCTAGAAAATAATGTTCTAAAATTGAAATGTATCCAAAATAGATATGCTGATAATGTACTTGCGATAAATTGATTCTCGGTTTGAATATCGAAAAAAAATCGAAATATGTACATTATTTTCTAGGATAAATTGTGGGTTGCTAAATTGGCTAAATTAAAGGTAAAAATACATCATATTGGACTTGTCTTATCGATATATGTATGTATGTACATTCTTTCCTAGGCAAAACATTAATTTATCAAACTTTACGATAATTTCGATAAAATATTGATATTTTGTCGATATATATGATTTCAGATTTTTCATATTGATATATATATGTATATTATCTCCTAGATAAAAATCTGATTAGCGTTTCTACACATTTTATTTTTTGCCCTTAAAAATACTGACATTTGAATATTTTCTCAGGATCCGCCTTGACCATTGCCGACATCCACCGACTGATGTGCGAGGAGCCGGCGAAGCTGTGCGGCTTGTCCGCCTCGAAGGGCCGCATCGCCGAGGGCTACGACGCCGACTTCTGTGTGTGGAGTCCCGAGGAGGAGTTCACCGTGGGTCCGGAGCAGCTCTACACGGCCACCAAGGCGACCCCGTACGCGGGCCGGCGGCTGAGGGGCGTGGTGCATGCGACGGTGGTGCGGGGCCTGCATGTCTATCAGCAGTTCGAGGGCTTCGGCCAGCCGCTGGGCAAGGTGCTACTCCGCCGGAGCGGCCGCAAGCTGGTCAAGTTCGTGAGGATGTGAGGGGTGGTAAACTTTGTTAATTAAAATCATTAAGAGATTGGGCTGTGTTCGTTGATATTCCGTAGCCACGTGGACTGGCCTGCCAATACACTTTCTTTTTTGGGGTTGTTGCGTCTCTATACGAAAAAAAAAAAAAAAATATTTAAATGTAAAATGCTATTCGGAATACCATGTATATCATAAAGAATATATTTATAAAATAAATATTTTAATTGTTAAATATTTTCTTAGCTTTTAAGAGCCATGTTCATGTTTAAATAAAATAAAATAAAAAAAATGTATATCTTAAATCCTATTCGGAATACCATATATATCATAAAGAAAATATATATGGGCACTTCCAAAAAAAAGTCCACCAAGCCAAAAACCTTGAAACTTGAATAAAACATATTTCCACATGATTTTGCCCCGATATTAGTTTCTAATTAGTTGGATACTGAGCTTAACTACAAATTTGGAGTATAGTTTGATTATTTTTATGAAAAACTCCACCAATATACGCAAAAATCAGTTTTTGGCTATTTTTTTGTTATTTTTATACCCGTTACTCGTAGAGTAAAAGGGTATACTAGATTCGTGCAAAAGTATGTAACAGCTAGAAGGAAGCGTTTCCGACCCCATAAAGTATATATATTCTTGATCAGGGTCACTAGCCGAGTCGATCTAGCCATGTCCGTCTGTCCGTCTGTCTGTCTGTCCGTCTGTCCGTCTGTCCGTCTGTCCGTCTGTCCGTCTGTATGAACGCTGAGATCTCAGAAACTGCAAAAGCTAGAAGGTTGAGATTTCCCCCACATATTCTTTGGCTTCCTACGCAGCGCAAGTTTATTTTAGCCGAGCGCCACGCCCCCTCTAACGCCCACAATCGCCCACTAACGATTTTAAAATGGGTCCTGCGCCCACATCTTTAAAGATTTCCGAAAAGTATAAATGCAATTTTGTTGTGTATATTTATACCTATCGAAATGTAGAAGACATTTTTCAAATCGGACCATTCATTAAAAAGTTATACGCAATCAAAAATTATATATCTATCTCCCTCGCACTCCCTTTAGCTGAGTTACGATTATTAGTCGGGACACCAACCCGACACAGCGTTCGCACTCCCTTTAGCTGAGTGACGGGTATTAGATAGTCGGGACAACAACCCGACTATAGCGTTCTCTCTTGTTTTTATACCCGTTACTCGTAGAGTAAAAGGGTATACTAGATTCGTGCAAAAGTATGTAACAGCTAGAAGGAAGCGTTTCCGACCCCATAAAGTATATATATTCTTGATCAGGGTCACTAGCCGAGTCGATCTAGCCATGTCCGTCTGTCCGTCTGTCTGTCTGTCCGTCTGTCCGTCTGTCCGTCTGTCCGTCTGTCCGTCTGTATGAACGCTGAGATCTCAGAAACTGCAAAAGCTAGAAGGTTGAGATTTCCCCCACATATTCTTTGGCTTCCTACGCAGCGCAAGTTTATTTTAGCCGAGCGCCACGCCCCCTCTAACGCCCACAATCGCCCACTAACGATTTTAAAATGGGTCCTGCGCCCACATCTTTAAAGATTTCCGAAAAGTATAAATGCAATTTTGTTGTGTATATTTATACCTATCGAAATGTAGAAGACATTTTTCAAATCGGACCATTCATTAAAAAGTTATACGCAATCAAAAATTATATATCTATCTCCCTCGCACTCCCTTTAGCTGAGTTACGATTATTAGTCGGGACACCAACCCGACACAGCGTTCGCACTCCCTTTAGCTGAGTGACGGGTATTAGATAGTCGGGACAACAACCCGACTATAGCGTTCTCTCTTGTTTGGACCTGTCTTCTGCTGTAAATTTATCCTATAGGAATGCTAATATGGGACATTTTTCTCTACTGAATGCTTCATTCGCATGCTAAACTATTAAGTTAAAAGCAAAACATCCAGCAATTGAGAGATAGAGGTAAAGAAATCCGCTTTACAAAACAGTCGGAAAAAATGTCCCGAGCGACATGTCCCGAGCGAATGTGGTTGAAACAGCATAAAAAAAAAACGGCAAAGAATTTTTGAGTAAAACCAAAAGTATTTCACAGCGACATGTTTGAACAACATTCTAAAAAAAATCGCATTCAAATATTTCATCAGAATTTGCTAATTTTTAGTGTTGTATGAACTTCCTCGAAATCCACTTCTATTTTTGTCCCGAGCGAATACGGCAGTTTTTTACCGATATCTTAAAAACTAAAAGTGGTACAAAATTAAGATTTTTACCAAAAATAGAGCTTGGGAAGAGTGAAAAGAAAAGCCCATAATTAAAATTAAAATCCATTGTTTTACAATTTTTTTTTCAACTTCAAAGGTGTGCAAATGTCCCGAGCGACATTTTGGAAGTGCCCATATGTATATTAACTGTTAAATATTTTCTTAGCTTTTAAGAACTTGCCTATAGGTAGCTGTTAAATCCCGTTAATCTTCAAGTCCCTAATACAGCCTTACAAGTTACACAATTGAGATCCTTCTAAAAATAACAGCCACGTTTCTTGTTAATATGTCACAAACAAGGACTTATCAGATTAAAAAGAAAGCTATCAACTTGTTGACAACCTGTTGATATCACATTTTTCCCTTGCAAAAGATTATTTTAGATGGCTTTTTGATAGTGTTTAGAGTATCGAGCGGGCCACCAGGCTATTTGTGGAATCAGTTCTGGAAGTTGGCTTCCCATTTCTGTTTTTCCCCTTCCGCTGTCGACTTCCTTAGAGCTTCCTTCTGCCGCTCGAAGGGATCAGAAGGGGGTGGAAAATTGGAGACCAGGACGTGCAACAAGTTGTCGCGTGGCAACGGCGAGTAAACATGACACCAACCGACGACCTCATGGAGCCCACCCATCACCCATCACCATCGCATGTGTGTTTTTGCCCCCCGCGCGCTTTTCCACCGCTTTTCCATCGCTTTTCCGTCGCTTTTCCAGGCATGTGGATGACAGCTTAAGTTTGCTTGCCAGGCGTCAACTCAATTTTTGCACTACACCCATGTGTGTGTGTGTGTGTGTGGGTGGGCGTGTTTATCTAAGCGGTTGGGCAAAACAGGCAGCAGGTTTATGCCGTGATTTAGTTGAACTAGAAGATTCGAACTTTATCTGCACAGCCTTAAGCCCTTGACTAAGATGCACGGTGAGAAAAACAAAAAATTGCATAAGGCATGCTCAAAAGTATGCTATAAAAAGTAATTATCCCTTGAATTTACAGATATCGTAGGATGTTTATCTGTAGACTACTCTACAACTTTAGTATTCTATTATGAACTATTGAAAATCTCCATTAGAAATCTCTAGAGTTTTAAAATAATATATTACATTATTTTGAAAATTTTTTGTAAAAGTAGGTATTATTTTATTTGTTAAAATGATATAGATATTATTTCCTACACAGAGAAAATTATCAAAAGTTTTAGGTGCAAAATAAGGGGTGAAACATTTTAAAAAGTAAAACGTTTCATACAAATTTATTTTACTTTGCATTTTTAAAACGTTTTCATTTTTATTTTTAAAACGTTTTTACACCTAAAACGTTGCATAATTTTCTCTGTGTATATTTTATGAAGAAATATTATTAAAAATTAAAAAATACGATAGATATTATTTGCTGTAAAAATGTAATAAAATATTAAAAAAAAAATAAGATTCTCTTAAGTCTATCTTAATTTTCTGATGCTATTTTTTGCCAAAACTTCCAAAAACCTGTTCTAAAAATAGAAAAATGATTATAGTCCCCCCTTTCGATGTTCAAAACTCAATGAACTGAACATCTAATAATCCAACTGCATTTTTTTCAGAAATTCGTACAGTCCCTAGACCTTGGGTGGTTTTAAAACCGCTATAAATGCCCGATAAAGATGACTTTCCTGGTATTTATGCCGTGTTTATTGTCTTTTTTATCGGTGGAAGGCAGAAAAACACAGGTGAAAGGGGCGAGAGTGAGACAGATTGAGGCAGAGGGATAGTCGGCAGAGCTGTCAATCAAGGCGGACATGGCGACCCACGCATAAACCGCTTTGTCTGCGTCCTTTTTTTTTCTTTCTGCTTTTCCCCGGCAAATGGAAATGGAAAAGGCGGCGGGGGCTTGGCCCGCAAATACACCTTCAGCTTGTTGATGGGCTTGTGTCTGGTGACGTTTCGATTTTGTACTTTTCTTTGTTTTGTTATACCCGTTAAGCGTAGAGTGAAAGGGTCTATTGTATTCGTTCAAAAGTATGAAAGTATATAGTATAAGATATAAGATTGTTTTAACCACGCCACTTTAAAGATTTCGAAAAAGTATAAATGCAGTTTTGTTGCTCATATTAATACCTATTGAAATGTAGAAGAAATTTTTCAAATCGGATCATTCATTAGAAAGTTATGAGCAAGTAATGAAATTCAAGCAATGCAAGCAGTCGCTTTACTGCGTGCCTGTCTCCATCTCTCTCGCACTGAGTAAGGGGTATCGGATAGACGAGGTACTTGTTTTGTACTGGCGACTTGCGTGCCACATGCCCCGCCGCCCGATTTGTTTGCTTCCTGCCTGTTGCCTCGTCGTCGACGTCGACCGCCTGCGTCATTGATGCCCACGCTCGCCCAGCGCTCTTAACCCCACGGCGGTGCCGCTATTTTTAGCCCCCAGGAATGGAAACTTTCGCCAAAACTAATTTGTGAATTATTCACAGTAAAAAAAAAACGTATAAAAAACAAAAACAGACAACGTTTGTGCTCTTGCGTGGCTGCTAAAATAATTAAACAACATGTTTTGTGCATATTTAGTTATCTAACTTTTTTATGCAAGCCAGCCAAGGGAATTAAATCAATTAAGTGATGTAACATGAACCGCAAATGGCGTAGCAAAAATATTTAAATGCAATTTGCTAAGCAAGTGGAAAAACTATTTACAGAAAAGCGTATTCATTTCACAATTAAATGATTAGAGAAAGTGGTCAATGGAATTTAGTTTCTCGTTTGTTTCAAAATAAACTTTAAAAATGATTTATTTTAATTTCGAAAAAAATAGGGTAAACATTAACAACCGTTCGTGGGTTAATACAACTGGCTTATGAATTTGCCGCAAAGGAATAAAGTCGTTTTTTTTCTGCACGGTTAGCGATTCGCTTAACGCGCCTCTGAGCAGCTTCCATTCCCATTAAATAAATGCCACAAGCAGATCACAGTTTCAAATCATATTAAACGCAGCGCGGGTACAGGTGAGCGGTGCTTTTGAGTGGATTTCGCCTGTCACTGGCAGGCAACGCGGCGTATACTTGATGTGGCCCCAGCCCGTTCCACGTAACGCATACGCCATGTGAGCCACACGCGACAACGAAAACGAAAACTTTCGCCCTTCAAGCCTTCAAGCTAGTGGGCGGGGCAGAGTGATACACACACACACACACATACAGGGGGATAGAAATTGGGCTAGGGGGTTAGCGCAAAAAGGTAAACATTACGCATTCGCAGCGTTGGCAAAGTGAAATGTTATCTCCGTTTGCCCGAAGCTATGACCCAAAAAAGTGGGTTAGGAAAATTGCGGGGGAAAATCACTCGAAGGCGTGACTTGACCCCCAGAAAGAGGGATAAAATCTGGGATTCAGAAATAAGCTAAAGTTTGCACGCGTCTATACACACAGGTGGCTGAAATTACAGAAATCGAAATATTAATATAATAAACAAAATATTATAAAAAAGTTAGATAGTTTTCCTTAAATTTAAAACTATATGACTCTTATTAAGTTGAGCTTTATAAGGAATTTGTTAGACCTTCTATTTAAATAAAATTATTTAGTTTTTCTGATCTCTCTTATGATTTATCATTTCAATGAAAAATGGAGTAAAAAAATCGAACTTTTGGGTAAAAAAAATATATTTACAAGTTTGTAATATAGGAAATAAAATGGATTGGATATAAAATAAAAACGGCACTTGGCGAGCGACAGAGATGGCAGATGACGACAGCAGATAGCTGTACAAGCTGAAGTAGCATTTGAATTCGCATCTACTCCCCCATTTCTCCTTTTCCTTCCCTTTTCTTATCATCCTATCCCCTTTTCACCCCATCCGTCAATCGTCATGGAAACTGGCACCTGAAAGTATGCAGCACTGGGTGCGCCTGCGAGCGAGAGAGACAGAGCGAAAGGGAGAGGGGGCGAGCGCTGCTACTGCGTGTGCGCAAGCGAGTCGGCAAGCAAGCTCTGCTACGCCATAACTGTGCGCTAAGGCGATAACGTCAGCTGCTATCTCGCTCTGGCTATTGCTATTTAAAAATATTTATGCATGTACGGCACGAGTGTGTGTGTTAGTTTTTGTGTTTGAGTGCGAGTGTGAGGTAAAGGTGAGTAAGAACAACGACGACGTCGACTTTGACGTGGCGCTCTGGCTCTCTTTGTTGTTGTTGTTCCTGCTAAAGAAGTTATTCCAACGGAGTAACGGCCAATTACGAAACAAAAGTGCGAGAGTGCGGCGAGGGGGGCGGAGGCGGGGGAGAGCGGGCGAGGGCGAGAGAGGAAGCTCCAAATCATATGCTCGCTCAGCTGCGGCAGCTCTGCCGGCGTCGCCGTTGGTTAGTCAGTCATCATCAGTGCTTTTTAGCGCTACGTAGAGAACAGACGGCCTTCCCAAAACACACACACACACGCATAGGAGGCGAGGCGGCGGCAAAAGAAGAACAAAACGGCAAACCAAAACCAAAAACAAAGAGCAACAGAGGCGGCAGCAACAACAGCTACTGCAAAGGTGACGGATTCAAAAGCAGCGAATTTTGAGCGCCAAAAACAAAAGAACGCAACATCACAAAGAGCATCACAGTTTTTCATTTTTTTTCTTCAGTGCAAGTGTGTTTATAATTATAGCTCTGCTGTGGGTGTGTGTGTGTGTGTGCGAGCGTGTAATCAAATACAAATCAGTAAAATAACAAAAATCTTGACGTAATCGCTAAAATGCAAAGCAAACGACACGAAAACGAGCAACAATAACAAAAGCGATTTGAATTCTTTTTGTGTCGGTTTTTCGGTTTTTAATTTGCAAGCTTACGGGCGGACAAAAAGAGACGGAACGAAAACACCACACTCGCGTGTTGCGTTGTAGTTTTTGTAGTTATTCTTGTTTCATTTTTTTTTTGTCGTGTAGTGCCCGTGTTTGCCGTTATGCAAAGATTTCATTGTTATTAGTCAGCAAACGTCAACAGGCAGCAACAACAAAGGCAACAACCAAAACGGGTAAGCGATAAACACACACACAGTAGAGCTTGCCTAAAGCGAATTTTCCATAACTCATTTGGTTTTCATATCATCTCCTTTGCCATTTATGTACATATACATAATGAAATAAATAATTTAATTTTTCAATGATTAAACAATGATAAACGTCTTAAGAAAATACACAAAATATTTGTTCTCTAAACAAAAGTGACTTTTACTGTGGTTCGTCTCATAAAAGTTTCACTATTCGCTGAGGGAATTCGAAAGAGCAATAGAGAGAGCGCTGAGCAAAGGGGGGGTGGAAGTGGGAGTGTGAGTATGCGTAACTGCAACACCAACAAACTTTTTCGAGTGCCGATCCTCAACGGGGGAAAAAGAGAGGGAGCGAGTGGGGAAAGCATGGGTGCGGATAACAGCGAAAAGTGATGCGAAGGGGTAAAGAAGATAAAGAAGGTGAGAGGGGGAGGCGCGGATTATGCTTATCAATGAGTTATTGACATGGAGTGGGGGGCAAGGGGGCTGATAAAGCAACGTCGCACACTTAAAAAAACAGATGTATTACGATAATCTTTTTACAATTTAAAGATTTTATTTAAAAGAAAAAAAATTTCACTTACGATGTTAAAATACATTTAAAAAAAGGCGTATATAAAGCCAATCTATTTTAAAAAAAAATATATTTTTTGGGTTAAAAATATAACATTTTATTTTGGGACTCGAACTCGGGTCTTTTGTTACCCATGTCTTTTGCTAAAAAATCTAAATTTTAATGTAACATCTATTTAAAATCCGTGCTTTCTTTACACATCGATCTGCGGTTTTTTCCTGTGCAACCTTATTGCCTTGACACTGGTATAAAAAATCGTTTAGATATCGACGCAATCGTAATTTACCGCTGACTAATATGGGGGAATCACTCGCAAAGTGGAGGGTGAAAAATGCGGATCGCAGCGTGTAGCTGCTGAACAGCCCCTTTCCACGAACTCCCGCTAATCTTGCACATTTAAAGAGCTCAACTGGTTGGGGCCGTCGTGCATAATTATCCGGCAACTACGCCAACATGATAACACAAGCTCCCATTCCAGCTGATAACAAGCACTGTAAAAAAAATATACCAGTTTCTGATATAAAAACAATTTCACTTTTTTCAACATAGCACACACAGAGGAAAAAAAACCAAAAAAAATCAGCCATCGGGTATTTTTTCATTTCAATTTTGGTCCGTTCTGTGCTCATATCAAAATTATATTTCCGAACATATGATTTTGTACCATATTGAAATGAAATCTTACCATTTTGTTATGTAAAAATGCTATGAAACAATATCAAACCCCCGATTATTTTTTTTTCTCTGTGCAGTAATTCAAACGAAGAAATTATTGGAGCCCCAAGAGAATTTAAAAAAAATTTTGTAAAAGAAAGATTTTGATTGAAACTATTAAAGTTCAAACCAAAATATAAACACCAAAAGAGAACTTAAAATTTTAGAATATTAACTGGGTGTTTCAGTACTCTATTTGTTTACAGTGCAGATTTTAAAAGGTAAAGCTGGGTGGGTGGGCTTTATCAAAATTTTAGCGTAATCCCGGCATATAGCCATGTGCAATTGCTCCCCCTCTCTCTCGCTCCGGCACTCACTTACTCTTTCTCTGCTTCTGTCTCTCTCTGTCTCTACAAGCGTATGGCACCTGTCGCCAATGGCTCTATCTCGCTTGCACTGCCTCTCTTCTGCTGGTTCTTCTTCTTCTTGTTCTTAGCTTGTCCATGACAAGTAATAACTGTTGTGGCTCTCTTTTTTGTTATTGCACATTCATTTAGTTTTAATTAATTCAGCCAAGCAAACAGTGTTAGAAAGAAAGAGGTGCCGAAAGGGGGATTGGGGGGTTGGGGCTTTCGGGCGGCAGAGATTCACCAACACGTTCGCAGAAGGCAAACCAGCACAAACACAAACACCAACGCAGTGGAAACGAGTAAAAATAAATAATGCTGACGTCAATTTTGCGTACGCCAATACACAGTGCAAAAAAGGGGGGGCATAAAAGGGGCGAAAAAGGGGTGCGGCTAGTGCAAATCGAAAACCAAAAACAAAATGCAAACTGATTGGAATTGATTGAAATGCAACAGCAACAACTTTGAGCTTACTGCTAATGTCAAAAAGCAACAACTTTTGTGGAGGAAACAGCAACACAGCTTAAGTACTCTAATCCAAAAAAAGTAGAATAGATTCGATAAAAATTATTAAGTTTTTCTTCCAGACATGTTCTTAATGGTTTCGCTATTGTCATAATAGTTATAATGGTTTTCGACTACAAGTTTTGCTTGCGCCGCTCTATAAAAAATACAGTCTTATATTTTACATGTTATTAAGACTATTATTATGTCCATTTAATTTACCTGTTTTTCAATAATAATGCTTTTGGGATGTAATTCACTTATGTTTGCCTTTATAATGTTTTCCCATATAAAACCAACATGTCGTATGAGTAATATTTAAACTAAATGTATACCATTGAAATTATATTTATTCTACAACTCTGTATTTTACAACTTGAACGCCATTATACTTACTATACATATTCGTTTTGTCTTTTTTTTTTTAACAGAGAGAGTATTAAAAATTCTACTTATTCAAATTTGCTTCCTTTCCCGTTTAGAATCAATTTGGTTGTTTTATTTGAAAAATAAACTTGACCTCAATACAAACCCATTCCAAAAGTTGCTAAAGTGCTGTCCTTTTCCTTTGATTTCTTGTGTAGAGAAGGATATTCGTGAAAACATTTTTAAGTGAGCATCAAAACCAATACAATCCTTGTGCATTTTTTGTTGATCTTTATCTTTATAACAATATGCCAATTCATGCAAATAAAAAACTATCTTTGTTTTTGTTCTGTGTAGGGATGATGTGGTACTCAAATGCGCTTTATTTACTGCCATATCGCAAACCCCATATTTCAGCCAAGTTATGGTCAGGCTTTCTGCGACTATTGTACTGACCGCAGGTGTACATAGTACAAGTTACATACCATAGTAAATACTATTTAGTATATGAGCGGTATTTACAGTTCCTTTAGCCGGGGACTGGGCAAACTTCATTAGCCAGTGATGTCAGCCGGTGTAAAGGTAATACGGACTACCCATACATATTTCCATACATATGTACGTATGTCGTACATCGAGGGCCTCTCATTTGGGCCGTGAGTCAGTCAGTCTATGGGGTCGTTTAGACAGTACGGCGTTTTGAGGTCCTCAATGGAACGAGTGGGCGGTACAGAGTTCGTGCGGCGTCGTAATTAATGGCAATTATTTTGTCACTCAAAGGGAAGTCGATTGAAAAAGGCAGCCTAAATAATGCAAATGGTATTGGAAATTATATTTCCAGAAAAACAGAACAGTCATTCCCCCTCGCCATTGCACTAATTAACTATTAATTCAAAGCTGTTGCAGGCCACAAATAATCTCAGGTCTGTTTTTTAGGGCCCGTTGACGTTTTAAACTTTCCGCCAAGTTTTCTCGCGGTGACGTCATGGCCAGCGCATATAGCCAATACAACTATTGGGCTGTAAAGTAATTAGCCGAGAATATCATTTGGGCTAATTGTTTTTTGCGAATGGGCTATTATTAAGGGGTGGAAAAAAAGTTGAGAATAACCAACACAAAAACTGATTTTTTGTGGCCTTTTTTAAGTTGTTTTTTTTTAACTGCAATCCTTGGATGTATAATTGATTTTAAACTAATGTTTATTTTTCCTACGAACGCAAATGGTGTTTAAGTTTAGTAGTTTTAGTTGAGAACTTAAATTAAGTAAAAACATGTAATAATCTAATAATTATAACTATTTTTTAAATATTAATCGGTTTCTGATTAGAAATTTTGAATATTATAAACGGAAAACCAACAAATCTTCCAAAGTCAAATAACAGAATATGCATGAATAAATGGGTTATTGACAAATGTTTTTAAAAACAAGAAAAAAAACTGTTGAAATAGGAAAAATTAGAAAGAATTTTGAAATATTTGAAAATCTTCCCGCTGGCTGTAGCCAATTTCGGCACCATTTTGCCAGCCAGGTTCTCCACCTTTGTGGTATTTTCCACTCAAGCAGCGCGTGGTATATTGTCACACTGCTGCCACGGTCACACTGTCAATAATAAGCGAACGATTTTTGCGCAAAAAAAACGGAGTTTATCAATAAATCGTTGCGTGCGATTGCGTTGACCGTCGAAAACGCGTTCGTTCTCGTGCAGAATCCGCAAATGCAGGGCTTTTAGCGCCCAAAATTCGCGATTCAGTGCTGCGAAAAGAAAAAAGAACGTAAGCAACGATAACAACAGGCAGCGAGAGCGAGTGAGAGGGCAAGAGAGCGAGCGAGGGAGCAGTGCGGAGTGTTGTGTGTGTGCGTGCTGCCAACTTGTCGCACCAATTCGCTGCTGAGCCGAACTGTGTGTGTGTGTGTTCTGTGCGGTTCTACCAAGTTAAAGAGAAAAAAATCGAAATCCTTTGCGCGATGCTATCCTAAAACCCCTTTGAAGTTCTAGGATTCTACGTCTGGCTTCCCCAACCGATTTGCTGGCCATATCCGTTATATAGAATTTCCTGGCGAGAGCGACTTTTCAACAAGTTGCCAGCGCAGCGTGCAACGCGCGCACACACACACTCGCAGGCGAGCAAACACACGCGCAAGAGAGAGAGAGAGAGCGAACAACAACAACAAAAGCTTCTCAGCAGCAACGTTTTTAGTGATGTCATCAGAAAGTAAGTTGATTTTTCGCTGTGTTTTTCTTTTTTTTTTTTTTTTGTGTGTGCTGCCTCTTTGCACACTCACACGCACACAACGTTGTCATGACGTCATTCCACCGAAATACTCACAACTCGGTGTTGTTGTTATTGTCGTTTATGTTGTTGTCGTCGTCGCTGTTGTTGTTGCTGCCTTTGGGCAACTGAGTTCCATCAGTCAGCAAATCGGCAGCGGCAGCACAATATAATATCATCGTCATCACAATCACATCGCACACTCGTCATCGGCCCAAAACAAACGAACGAAGCAATACAATCCAATCCAATCCAATCCCGCCCAGAAACTAAAAACGAATCCAAATCCAATATAATACCATTTTAGAAACCTCTTCAAGCTGGCCAAATTGAAGCGGAAACGGTAGCCAAACTGAAGCACTTGTCGGAGAGCGTCTCGGTGCTGCTGAAGATCGCCAGGATCGCCAACATGGACAACAGCATCGTCGAGGAGAACGGCAACTCGTCGGCGGCATCGGGCTCCAATGACGTGGTCGACGTTGTTGCCCAACAACAGGCGGCGGCAGCGGGGGGTGGCGGAGGAGGAGGAGGAGGTAACCCCCAACAGCAACAACAAAACAACCCACAAAGTACAACGGCCGGCGGTCCAACGGGGGCGACGAACAACGCCCAAGGAGGAGGAGGAGTAGGAGCCACCGTGCTGACCACCACCGCCAACTGCAACATACAATACCCCATCCAGGCGCTGGCGCAGCACGGACTGCAGGTGAGCTGGGCGTTGGAGTTGGGATCCCAAAGCGATCCCATCAGATCCCTGTTTCTAAAAAGAGTTTTGAGCCCCTTTTTGGTATAGGTACTCCTGGAGTTGTTGTCCTTAGGATAAACAGTGAGAAAGACTTGTATTTATAAAAAATTTAAATACTTGAAGGACCCATTTTGGGAAAGGGATTTCCATTGTACAACGACTTGTATTTATTAAAATATTAATACTTGAAAGCTCCTTTTTGGTATAGGGATTCCTAGAGTTGGTCCCCTGAAGATAGACAGTGTACAAAAATTCTTAGATTTATCAAAATAATAATACTTGAAATACCCTTTTTGGTATAGGAATTTCTGGAGTTGTTGCCCTAAGGATAATCAGTGTTAAAAACTTGAAAATCCCTTTTTAATAAAGGGATCCCCAAACTTGGTCAGTTAAGAATAGACAGTGTACAAAGTTTTCAGAAATTGGACCATTTGAATCGGTTTAGAAAAGGAAAATCTATGATTTATCCTGAATTTCTTGTTTTTTAACTTTTCAACCATTTCAATACTGTGTTGTACGCTATTCAAATTATATTAAACTTAATAAGTTTGCTTGTTTCAATTAGAAACCTAGTTTCAAAACAGGCAAACCATCCTATAATTTATATTTAGTATTATACGATCATTTTGTCATTTGGATTGATTAAATTGTTTCAATTAAAGTATATTCATTTTATAAATATTTTAAAACTTTAATTTTGTTTATAAAAATATATCTATATATTTTTTGTATGATATTTAATTTTTTTTTTGCTTTTGAACTTAATTATTTTAAATGGTTTCGATGATTAAAAGTTTATTTCTTTTTTATTACGAGAATTAATCGATTTTTTATTTGTATCTTTAATGTCGTACATGGGAGTACCGAGTACCAAGTTTCCAATAAAGTTAACAAAAATGGTTAAATATTTAGAAAAGTTTGAAATTTCACACGATATAAACGAAAGCTGTTGTTGAATAATCGAAAATGATACAATGCGATAGGGGAAATACGAGATCATCGACTATGAGAGCGCACTCTTGATGTTCCTTACCGCGTAAGCCAGTTTTCCGGCCCAATTGAATCCAGTTAGTCCAGTTTAAGCCCATTCCTCGGACAGATTCTAATGGTTGCGACCCCATTTCTCCTCCACAGGTGCAATCCGTGATACAGGCCAATCCCTCGGGGGTCATACAGACAGCAGCTGGGACCCAGCAGCAGCAGCAGCAACAGGCGCTGGCCGCCGCCACGATGCAGAAGGTGGTCTACGTGGCCAAGCCGCCCAACTCGACGGTTATCCACACGACACCCGGCAATGCAGTGCAAGTGCGTAACAAAGTGCGTAGCTCAGGGAGCACCCACCGAGCAGAACTCTGATAATGTCCTCGTACTTACATGCCTCCAACTTACCACACACAGATCCCTCCAACCTTTCCGTGCAAGATCAAACCCGAACCGACCACGCAGCATCCGGAGGACAGCGACGAGAGTCTGTCGGACGACGATTCCCAGCACCACCGCAGCGAGCTGACGCGACGGCCGTCGTACAATAAGATCTTCACGGAGATCAGCGGACCCGATATGAGCGGTAAATCCCGGGGAACCGAACCTCTCCACCCGTTTGTCACCCCCATTCAGATTCAGATTCAGACATATGTATCTCTGTCGCTCCTTGAAACACTATATCGCCTAACAAAACAAATCGCATCGCCGAGCTGATCGCCCCTCATCGTTCATTCCAAGATGCACATGCGCCTGGCGATCGTTTGACCTGACCACCACTCCCGATAGCCGGCGTGATCGATCAGTCCAGACCACCATCAAAAATCATTCATTCCCCCAGTGTTTGTAACCCCCTCATTTTCTCGCACTCCCCATTCGTTTTGTACAGTTGCTAAATTGGTTGGCTAAATATCACTGTAAACACTTTAGGCACTGCAACGCGCGCTATAGCAAAAGATCCATAGCAAAATCACTAAATAAAAGAAATAGATTGTGCTATTTTCATAACTCTATTCAAAAACAGAACCATTTTATAAAATCATTAAATTTTATAATGTTATTAAAAAAAAGGAAGTTAATTGAAAATATGCTTAGCACAAATAATAGAATTGAAAATAACAAATCTTCTAATGAAACTTGACTCAAAATAATAGTAAAGATCCCGATTAAGAAGGTTGCTAGCAGTTATAAAGATGAGAAAAGATGAAAATAGATTGTACTATTTTCATAACTCTATTCAAAGACAACCATTTTATAATAGCCGTCTATAGTCTCATATTGTTCTTTCCTTTGAAAAATATCATATCACAGAAATGGTTTACAAAGAAGGGTTTTATATTGTTATTAAAAAACAAAGGTATTTGGAAATATGTTTAGCACAAATTATAGAATTTAAAATAGCAAATCTTCAAATGAAACTCGACTCAAAATGATAGTAAAGATCCCAATTAAGAAGTTTGCTAGCAATTATAATGATGAGAATAGATTGTACTATTTTCATAACTCTATTCAAAGACAGAACCATTTTATAATAGCCGTCTATAGTCTCATGTTGTTCTTTCCTTAGAAAAATATCATATCACAGAAATGTTTTATAAAGAAGGGTTTTATAATGTTATTAAAAAATGAAGTAAATTGAAAATATGTTTAGCACAAATTATAGTATAAAACTCGACTCAAAATGAAAGTAAAGATCCCAATTAAGGAGTTTGCTAGCAGTTATAATAATGACAAAAGAACTATCATATGAAATAACTAGTAAACTGGTAAAAATGTTGTCGTGAAGTTGTTATACAAAATCTTTTTATGACAACTAGAACTATAGTAATCATTCTAACTGTATATCTTCATAGATAATTTGTAAATAGCATAATTAGTACTTTTTTGTTTAGATCTCAATTATATTTGTAAATACAATGCAGACATACATTTGTACATAGATTGCCAAGGACTTCCATCGATTTCCTTCATACACCATCAAACGTTTCATTAGAGGCAGCCGTATAAGAGTGAACCCCGCCCCCTTTTTCACCGCCCTCATTATCATTTAGTTGATGTTGTTGTTGATGTTGCTTAATTGAAGTGAAAATAATGAAAAAAAAGCAAAAGGGCGGAAAAACGGATGCTGAAAATGGGCAAAAACGCGTTGTAGAGATTCCCAGAATTTCCTATTCCTGTAAATAAACCCCTCACCCACACACACACCCGCACCCTTTCACTAACTCGCACAAACACACACACACAAATGGAGAAAGCAGCAACAATAAACAATCGAATGAATAATATTTAATATTAAATAATATTCAACAATTACAACTATTATTGCTGCTGCCTACTTTCCTTCTCTTTCTATCTTCCTCGCCCCCACTCTCTCTTTTTTGCTATCTCTCCCCCTCTATTTCGCTCTCTCTCTGTCGTTGTTGCTGTAATCGCTGTTGTTGTTGTTGTTGTTGCCGTTGTTGTTACACACACAACCCATCATGCAAAATATTAAATAATAAATCAGAAGTTCAACCAAAAAAATACAACCTCTCACCTAACAGTATTTAAACCGTTAATCAAAAGCTTCTCTTCACTCTCTTTGACTAACCAATCTACCTATCTCGCTCGCTCGCTCGCCGCTCTCGCTCGCACTCACTCACTCAAGTTCATAAAAAACAAAAAATCAGTTCGAAAACTCAAAACTTCCGATTAAAAACTGAAAAATAGAAAATATGTTTTCTTATAATTTTATATTGTTTTTTTTTCATTATTTTCTTTTCGAACGCCTTCCTCCACCAAACCCAAAAACCCGAAATAAAATATTAAATATGTCCTGAACAACAAACAACCGCAACAACAACAACAACTCAACAACAATCGACAACAAAATCCCCAAATCCGTATTCGAATCGGATTCGAAATCGAAATATTGAAACGAACCCGATCCCAGGCGCATCGCTTCCCATGTCCGAAGGCGTGCTCAATTCCCAGCTGGCGGGGAGCGGAGCGGGGGGCAATCCGGCGAACAGCTCCCTGATGCAGTTGGACCCCACGTACTACCTGTCCAATCGGATGTCCTACAACACCAGTAATAGCCAATCGGTCCAACGATATATGCAGATATATGGCGGGGGAACTATTGTAAATCGAACTGTGATCAAGATCTAAGATTTTAAATAACTTTTTCAAAAGACAATCCATTAAATTACTTTTAATAATAATTTCCTTACTGTCTTTTTTTAGTCCATTTTTTTGTGTTCACACTAAAGTAAAAAATTGATTTGTTTTTTAATTCAGGATCTAAGATTTTAAAAAACTTATTTTATGTCTTTCAAAAGACAATCCATTAAATTACTTTAAACCAATAATTTCCTTGATTACTGCCTCTAAAATTCCAAAATGTATTAAATTTTTATTCATATTTTTTGTGTTCACATTAGGTTAAAAATTATTTGTTTTTTAATGAAGCCTAAATTTTTAAATAATTTATTAACAAAAGACAATCAAATAAATTACTTTTAAGTAATAATTTCCTTAGATATTGTCTTTAAAATTCCAAGTATTTTAATTCTGAATATATTAATTTTTACATTCATATTTTGTGTTTACATTAAAGTCAAGAGGTATTGGTTTTTTAATGAAGCCTAGGATTTATAATTATATTGCTTATCAAAATCAAATAGACTTTAAATAATAATTTCCTTTAATATTGTCTTTAAAATCCAAAATTCTATTATGAGTATATTCGTTTTTTCATTGATGTTCTTACTATACTATAAACTATAAAATTTCGATAATTTCAGTTCGAGTTACAGGCAGTTCCAATCTTTGATAGGTTAGCGCTTTCGCGACTGTTTTGTACTAATCTACTTTGCTTTTTCTTAAATCTCTTGTAGACAACAGCGGGATAGCGGAAGATCAGACCCGCAAGCGAGAGATCCGGCTGCAGAAGAACAGGGAGGCGGCGCGGGAGTGCCGGCGCAAGAAGAAGGAGTACATCAAGTGCCTGGAGAATCGAGTGGCGGTGCTAGAGAACCAAAATAAAGCGCTCATCGAGGAGCTCAAGTCGCTCAAGGAGCTCTACTGTCAGACCAAGAACGATTGAATGTGGGGCCGGGCTCTGGCGCCGCTTGTGCCTCCGCCTCCGCTTCCGGCAATGGCAAAGGCGAAGGCGAAGGCTGCTGCTCCGTTCTGGATAACGCCCGACAGCAGCGATGGATCGATCCTCATCCTCATCGTTGGCCGGCCGCATATCATGATTTATATACGTATAGGATGCTATATGTGGTATAGCGTGTACATTAACTGTGTGACGAGGAGCGGGATCGTGTTGTTGTTAGGACAGGCAGACAGACAGAATGACAGACAGTTGGACGGGACAGATGGATAGATCTAACCTGACCTGACCGATCGACCTGATCGACGGAGCAGAACACACAATGTAATTATGTTTATAATTTAAAGATGTAATATTATGTTTATGATTTAGTTTATGCCTTAGTTTATTTGCTAATTTAACGATACTGAAGTTTACCTACGAACATGTGTTTCTGTAGTATCCTAAGACCTCCTTTTACCCAAACGGATACTTCACTCCGCACAGACCTTTTGTAATTAAATTTTTTTGTTTTACCTAATTCGTAATTATCGAAAGTGTTTTTTCTTAGCGAATTGTTGTAAGCCAATATGTCAGGATATAGTCAACGCCCCCCGCCCCCGCCCCCCCTGGGAGGATATGCAGATAGGAAAGATACATAGATAGAAAGGTAGAAAAGAGCGAAAGGGAGCCTCCCAATAAAAATTGTTCAAAAATCGCAAGTTTCACTTGATTTATATGTGCGTGTACGTGTGTGCCGGCCGATTCGAACTGTAAAATTTGGTTTTAAACGTATTGGGGCATAGAATTAAATAATTCAAATATCATTTGTTGTTGCATAATTTTAAACGAATCGAGAAAATCCTCGCTTTTGCTTGTTTTTTGTGTAGTTAGCGAACACTATTTCCTTTGTTGTTTTGAATTTTTTTTTTGGAATCGGAGAGAGATATGTGGGGGAAAAATCATCGAAAATAGAGGAAGTTTGGCCGGAACACACGTAGGCATATATGCATTATATACATTTTTATATATATAAAGCAAACACTCTCGTTATCTCTTGTGATCAACTCAGTTGTTGTTATGAATGAATGAATTAAGGTGGAAAAACAGACGAAGGGGCGGACAAATACGATAAATTAATGATGAATTCGGGAGACAGAGATCGAACTTTTATATCTAGAGTAGCGCAACGGAAACAATGTCAAAATGAAAACCGGAAACGGAAATAAAACCATAAGAAAAACATGTATATGTATATCTCTCTATTTTTGATGTGCGAATCAAAACTTCTGCAAAGAGGAAAACATAAAAAACAAAACGGAAATCTAGACAAACAAAAAAACGCTAATTCAAAGAGCAGCTTTTTTTGGCCGAGTCAAAGAAGGGGGAACGCTAAAAGAAGGAAATAAAACAAACAAACAAAAGTTGCATTCAACAAAGTAAATAAATATTTTTATTGTCATTGCATAATTCTTAAGCTAGTAATTTTAATATCTAAATCGTAAGCGCGGAAAAACAAAGTAAATGAAAACGAAAACAAAACAAAAACAAGAAAATAAACTAAACCACTCAGCCCGACGAAAGAGGATTCATAAATCGAGAGCAGAAACTACAAAAGAAAGGCAAAAATAAACGGAAAGCGTAAGCAAAAATCTGTAGAAATTACAATATTGTTATAAATATTTGTCTCAATGAGAAAACAAACAAAAACAACCAACAAACAAAAGCGAAACAAACCAACAACAAAGAAAATATACATTAAAAAATTAATAAAAAATATTTGAAAAAAAAAACAAAGTGGTGTTTTTGTTTAGAGGGGAAAACAAAATAAAAATGTTTTGAGATCTTAAAACATAAATGTTTTTATAGAATGACTAAAAACCAAAATAAATAATAAAATGTTTTGAGGCCTTCCAGAATCAAAAATACATTTTTTAAAGAAAAAACAAAACAAAATTGATTTAAAATACAAATGTTTTGAGGTCTTAAAAATGAAAGTCTGAAAAGACTAAAAAACTTCAATACATTATTTTAGTTGAATAAAGGTTTTCAGATCTATAAAACACTAGATAAAAAATGTTTTAAGGTGTTACAGATAAAAATGTTTTTATGAATAGACTTTAAAAACTAAAACCAAGTAAAAAAAGATTAAAAACAAGAAAGGAAGCTAGCTTCGGCCAGCCGAAGCTTATATACCCTTGCAGATCATTCCTGTTAATTAACAAATCGCAAAAATGTTCAATTTTCTAATATTTCTCATTAATATTCCGATCGTTCCTATGGCAGCTATATGATATAGTCGTCCGATTTTGATTAAATTAAAATTGAAATTCGGAAATATTTAAAAAGAGTCATATCCTAGACAAGAAGATAATACAATAAAAACCAAAGAAGCTAGAATTTATTTCCTATTACTTTTCCATTAATTTTCCGATCGTTCCTATGGCAGCTATATGATATAGTAGTCCGATTTTTTAAATAATTAATTCGAAATTCAGAAATATTTAAAAAATAACATCCCCAAAAGTAGAAGGTAATATTTCAAAAAACACCGAAGCTAGAATTTTTTAAAGTTTTTTTTTCCGATTGTTTTTATGGGAGCTATAAGATATAGTTGTCCGATCCGGTCGGCTCCGACATATATACTACCTGCAATAGAAAGAAGACTTTTGCGAAAGTTTTGTCCCGATAGCTCAAAAACTGAGAGACTAGTTTGCGTAGAAACAGACAGACGGACAGACGGACGGACAGACGGACATGGCTAGATCGACTCGTCTTGTGATGCTGATCAAGAATATATATGGATATTTATATGGGGTCGGAAACGTCTCCTTCACTGCGTTGCAAACTTCTGACTGAAATCATAATACCCTCTGCAAGGGTATAATAACATATGGGACGTTCCATGTCAACCCGGCCACCCCACTTTTTTTTTTTTTTTGTATGTGGACAGTACCACATTGATTGCAAAGCCACTTGCTTCCAATAGTTTACCTCATACCTATTTTGTCAATGTTACCACTCTTTCGCCGTATAATCGCGTTGAAAAGAAAACACAAAATCATTTTTATCCTGCGAACGGAAGAAACAATTGGTATGGTTCAAAAGCAGAAAAATCTGTCTTTCCATGGCCGATTACGAGAAAAAAAATAGATTTTATTAGACCGTAGATGACCAAGCGATAGCGTTTTTAAAGTCTAAAAGTAGGATTTCGTCCAAAGGGCCAGTCTGCAAAAATACCATTATGTTTTTCTCAGAAAGCCCCATATTTAACGGATTTTATGCCACTGGTTTCAAAGTGGGATCTATCTTGTGGAATTATCTATGAATTCTTTTGTACGTTTTTGAAGTAGTTAACTGTCAGAAATAACTATTAAGTAATATAAAATAATCGTATATGCTTTGGAAAAAATTAATAAATCAATGAAAAGAATTCATAGATAATTCCACAAGATAGATCCCACTTTGAAACCAGTGGCATAAAATCCGTTAAATATGGGGCTTTCTGAGAAAAACATAATGGTATTTTTGCAGACTGGCCCTTTGGACGAAATCCTACTTTTAGACTTTAAAAACGCTATCGCTTGGTCATCTACGGTCTAATAAAATCTATTTTTTTTCTCGTAATCGGCCATGGAAAGACAGATTTTTCTGCTTTTGAACCATACCAATTGTTTCTTCCGTTCGCAGGATAAAAATGATTTTGTGTTTTCTTTTCAACGCGATTATACGGCGAAAGAGTGGTAACATTGACAAAATAGGTATGAGGTAAACTATTGGAAGCAAGTGGCTTTGCAATCAATGTGGTACTGTCCACATACAAAAAAAAAAAAAAGTGGGGTGGCCGGGTTGACATGGAACGTCCCATATATATTTTGAGGTCTTTAAATATAAAATGGATTTTATGAAGAGACTAAAAAACTTCTACACGTTATTTTAGTCTTAAGAAAAGTTTTGAGGTCTATAAAACATAACAAAATAAAATGTTTTCAGGTCTTAAAAATGTTTTTATGAATATGAAGAGATATTTAAAAATAATATACCTATATATTTTGAGGTCTTTAAAAATAAAATGACTTTTATAAAGAGACTAAAGAACTTAAATACATTATTTTAGTTTAAAAAAAAGTTTTGAAGTCTATAAAACATTAGAGAATAAAATGTTTTAAGGTCTTAAAAATAAAAATGTTTTTTGTGAATTGACTTAAAAACTTGAAGAGACTAAAAAATTGAAATACATTATCTAAGCTGCCTTATTGCCGTAAATACCTATCATTTAGGAGACCTTTATCTCTTAAAGATGGTTCAGGCCTGTCTTTTGGATATCCTAACCCTTTCAAATTAAATTTTTCCACACCTTCCGTTTCACAGAATGATTTAATTAATTAAGTACTCACACAGCACATACATACGGACTACAAGATACACGAGGAGATACAAAAATTACAAGACGCTAAGGTTACGATTATAAATACGTGTAGATCAGTCATAGCGAGTATTGGTTAGGATCCTCTGGAGTCCTTTACGAGATGAATAGGTAGATGACGAAGGTGCCGGCGCCGATGTAGTGGCTCAGATAGCCCGCCTGTTGCCAGTGCCAGAGAAACGACTCCGTTGTCTCGTCGTTGAGGGCATCTCCCAGCAGCACGACGCCCAGGTAGGCCAGGTGAAAGATGGCCAGCGCGGTGAAGGCCAGATTGGTGGCCTTAACCAGCCAGTGGGAGAGCGACTGCCATCCCCGCCTGCTGGGGCATCTGGCATAGCGACAACGCTCCTTGCCGCGGCACAGATTCGCCGAGATGCAGGCATCCAGGCAGCTGGCCAGCTGGCGGCGCAGCAGGGATTCCCCCTCCGCGAGGAAGGCCAGCGAGATGAGCACCAGATAGATGCGCAGATCCATGCCGTGCAGCAGGCTGGACACGGCATAGGTGAGCAGCACGGCCAGCAGGATGCGTCCCCTACTCCTTCCGTCCACCTTAATGGGCCCGTAGATGTACCGCTTGAGCCACTCGTGCATGGGAATGTTCCAGCCGCGGACCAGCGAGCTAATCGAACGCGGCCACTCGATGAGCCAGGGTCGCGAGACCAGCGGCCCCAGCAGCTCCGACTCCTGGCCGCCGTCCAGTCGCTGATCGGCGGCCACCAGCAGCGATTGCGCCATGATGCCCACAAAGTAGTGGCTGCTGCGCACGCTCAGCGCATCCCAGTACATGACCAGGAAGTGGGAGCTGTCCCCGAAGAAGTCGCTCAGCGCGGGAGCCACACAGTTGGACAGGATCACCGCTAGCACGCAGAGCAGGGCGTTGGGAACCAGGCGACGCAGGCTGATTAGCCAGCTGTTTCTGGGCACCAGGCAGTCCATGTAGCAGCCGTAGCTCACCCACGGACCCAAGGCGCAGGTGGCCGGGCTGTAGACATAGCCCAGATAGGCCAGCGGCCCCGGAATCCTCGCCTGCAGCTGGCCACTGGCGGTGAGATCGAAGCCCAGCGAGATTAGCTTCATGTTGACCACCATCTGGATGCCGCGCAGCTGCGGCCAGTCGCTGCGGCGCCGCCAGAGGAGCAGCTCGTACAGGAACTGGCTGCCCACGGTGAGCAGGGCCAGGATCTGGGCTCCCCGGCGGCCCAGGCGCAGCAGTTGGAGCAGCAGGTAGCCAATGGCGGCTAGCAGGAGCAGCAGAAGCAGGCGATAGCCGACGGAGAACTGCAGGAGGACGAGGCCGCAGGCAAAGTGGAGGAAGTGCAGCGGCGCCAGGCTGGTGAGGCGCCTGCGCTGCGAGTAAAGGAGGCACAGGAGGCGACACAGCAGGCAGAGGAGCAGCATGGGCGCCACATATTGGAGCACCTGCAGCAGCGAGGGCTCCACGCAGCTCTGCAGGCTGCCCAGGAGGCGCTCGGCCAGGCCCAGGACTCCAAAGCGATTCAGCTCCTCCTCCTCCAGCTCCTCCTCGCCCAGGTAGTAATCCTCCTCATCCTCGGCCTTTCCGAATCGGTAGTCCAGACCGCCGCCGCCGCCGCCGCCGAGCGTCTCCACCTCGTCCTCCTCGTCGAGATCGATGTAGTCCGATTCCTCCTCGAAGTACTGGTAATCCATCGCCGGCCGATCCTAGCCAATCCAACCCAATCCAATCCAATCCAATCCGAGGGGAGTCGAGGAAAATCCCGGCAAGCGGAGGATATACCTCGGAATATACCGCAAAAGATACCGAAAATACCAAAGGAAGGCGGCGGAGTCTTAGCAGTCTCGGTATTTTTCGGACAGCGCTGCCTCGTCAGCTTGTTTTTAGCTAGCTTTTAGCTTTTTTTAGGAATAATTTATTATGAAAAATGGATTAATCGTAATATGGGAACCAAAAATAACCAATCAAAGCTACAAAACACTTTTTTAAACAAATTTTTTATATAAATATTAAAATATTAAAAATATTAATTTTTTGTATTTTCACCTTGAAATAAAATAACTATAAAGTTTTCACATAGAAAAGTAACGAAAGACTTAGTGAACAATCGGTCAACTTTTTAAACACTTTTTAAATGTTAATATACGGAAAGTTGTTTCCAGTCTGATAAGTGTTTTATTTAGGAAAAGTCGCTGTTGCAGAAACATATTGTGTCTAAAAAGGATGTTAATGTAAAAATATAATAAAATATAAAATTTGCATTTAAAAAAGTAACGAACTTTTATATTAAGCAAGCGGGAAAAAAACTAAGTAAACAATGGTCAACTTTTTAAACCCTTGTTAACGAAAAAAGTCGAGTATTAATATTCAATGAATCACATTTTAACGTAATTTTTTTAAGTGGAAAGCTGTTCACACTATTTGTCTGATAAGTGTATTATTAGGGAAAAGTCACTGTTGCAAAAACAAGATATTATAGAGAAAGTGTCGCTGTTGCTGTTGCAGAAACACCGTCTGTCTGAACAGGCCATTGGAGATGTAATCACATCGATAGTTCTATGTTCTCCGATTAAACATCAATCACAAGTCCACCTCTATCAAAAAAGCCATTTGGTGGAATTTCCAATTTATTGACAAGGATTATTTTGAATCCGAATATAAGCCCAAATCCCTAGAATGACTCGCCACGCCCGCAACTGCACGGCGGGAGCCGTGTACACCTACAACGAGAAGAAGCGCGACGCGGCGGAGTCGGGCTACGGGACGAATGCGCAGCGTTTGGGGAAGGATTCGGTCAAGTCCTTCGACTGCTGCTCGCTGACCCTGCAGCCCTGCCGCCGCCCGGTGGTCACCAAGGAGGGCTACCTGTTCGACAAGGAGGCCATCCTGCAGTACATTGTGACCAAGAAGAACGAGTACAGCCGCCGGCTGAAGGAGTACGAGCGTCTGCGGCGCGCCGAGGAGGATCAGCTGAGCCAGGAGGCGAACAGCAAGCAGCAGGCGCGCATGGAGCGCTTCGTGAATGCCGAGAAGCCAGCCATGACCCCGGCGCACTCCTCCGCCGCCTCCTCCTCCTCCTCCGCCAGCGAGAAGCCCTCCACTTCATCAGCGGCCTCTGCAGCAGCCTCCTCCATCTCCTCCATCTCCAACATGACCAACGGGCACGAGAGGAAGCTGCCCAGCTTCTGGCTGCCCTCCGAGTGCCCCAATGCCGGGCTGGCCAAGGCCCAGAAGCCCGATGCCACCATCTACTGCCCGGTGTCGCAGCAGCCGCTTAAAGTCAAGGATCTGATCGACGTGAAGTTTACGCTTTTGAGGGATGGCGACTCCAAGAGGTCGCTGATCGCCAAGGAGGCGCGCTACATGTGCCCCATCACCCACGATGTGCTGAGCAATGCGGTGCCCTGCGCCATACTGCGTCCCACGTGAGTTCTGGCGGGGATTGCCCTTGGACAGCCTATTAATTGCGTACTATCTTTCATTTTCTAGTGGCGACGTGGTGACCATGGAGTGCGTGGAGCGGCTGATCAGGAAGGACATGATCCATCCGCTCACCGATCGCAAGCTCAAGGACAAGGACATCATTCCCCTGCAGCGAGTAAGTGAAATTTAGATTGTTCCTTTGCGGAATTCTAAGATATTTACCCATTTACAGGGCGGCACTGGCTATGCAACCACCAACGACAACCTGTCGGCCAAGGAAAAGCGACCCATGCTGCAGGTCTAAGGTCTAAAACCTTCACCAATAAAAACAATAGAATTTAAGCCCTAGCTAGTTGATTTATCCAGGAATTTAAATCACCATTTTACAAATTATTTACTGTCTTTTAGGTAACTTGCCTAAAATCAAGTTAATGTTTAATTTATTAATGGAATTTACCTCTTTTGCAAAACCAATTGCTCTTCAGATCATCAACATGTTGCACTAACATATTAAAAGAAATACAAATAAAATATATATCTATCCTGATATTCGTACAACACATTAAGGTTAGAAAACAGAAAACAAGTTTGTGTATTTTTGTATTAATAATGATTTTGAGCCATATAAAATATTCTAAAATCATAAAAACAACAAGTTTTTAAATGAAAAAACATTATTCTTGATACTCTGGACCTAAGAACATTTTATCTTAATTTATGGCAGATCGAGAAAAATTTTTCTTGATTTTAGAAGGTTTTTATTTTCTCTAGGAAAAATATCGACATTTCAATATTTCATTTTTTTCCATTTATAAAATCGATTGTTTCGATAATATTGTAAAAATATCGGATTTTTAGACGAAAAACAATTTTTCTTGATGTTCTTGACTTAAGAACATTTTATCTTTATTAATGACAAATCGAAAAAAAATGTTCTTGATTTTAGAATGATTTTCTTTTCTCTGTGAGAAAATATTGACAATTCGATATTTCATTTTGTTTTCCCTTGAACAAATCGATATTATTAAAAAAATATTGTTAAAATGTAGTTTTTAATGTAAAACAATTTTTCTTGATATTCTCGACTGGAGAAAAATTGTATCTTGATTTATGACAAATCGAGAAAAAATGTTCTTAATTTTAGATGGTTTTTTTCTCTGTGAAAAAAAAAACATTTCGTTGAAAACATTGATATTATCGAAGCGATATTGTGAAAATATAGAAAACATCGATTATTTTTAAGATCTAATAGTGATCCCCTTAAAAAGTTTCGTTTATTCACAGTCACAAGAAGTTCCATTTGATTTTACTTTTAAAACAATTCAATTATCCATGGTATAAAAACCGTACTTTCTACTTAATTTCGACCTCTTACTTCCAAAGATTCCCCTAAAAACAAACTGCCAAATTTTGGGGTTAAGGTATAATATATTCTTTATGCATAAGTGTAACGTGTAATGTAAATTGAAGAAGTTGCAGGCTGGCGGAATGCGGGCGGTCGTGCCGAATACGTAGCGTCTAGATACGTCGCTCCTGGTGGTGGCTGGTCGTCCACGTCCAGTTGCACGTCCACTAGGCCGCCTGCACCGACTGCTTCTGCGAGGAGCTGATCTTGTCGCCCAGACTCAAGGCCATGCCCTGTTTTTTTGGTTGGTTAATGTAGATTATAGTTAATAGATAATATATGATAGATTTTCCTCCATTTCTCACCTGACTCTTGGCGCGAATGCGAATGTGTCCCGTCACCTTGGAATCGGGATCATCCACGGGCTTCTCGATGCTCAGATTGGCCAGGGCATTCTCACCGAAAATGGATCTGTGATAGATGTTTATCAAGGATTTATATTCCTTCTAGACTAAACTAAACTGAGATACCCACTTGGCGTACATATTGGCGGCCATGAAGCCGCACTGGCCGGACAGCGCCTTCTCCGGCGTGAGGCACTTCATGTTGGTGCTCTTCAGCAGGTGCTTGAGATACTCGTGCAGATCGGTGAAGCTGGTGTTCACCGTCACCTTGTTCTCCCACTCAAAGTCCTGCCACATTTGCCGGAACTCGGTGTCCGTGCAGCTGGCCGGAATGATGTAGTCCATGATGTCGATGTGGATGGTGTTCAAGACCACAACGTTTGTATTGAGAGCGGTGTCGTAGACTAGGAATATATATAATTTATAGAATATATACATTTAGCGCTTCGATTTACCCACCAATATTGCCGAAAATGATGCCGTTCTCGGTGGAGGAGACCTTCACGTTGGCCTTGATGTTGCAGAAGTCGTGCGGGGCCAAAACCACGGGATGCGGGCGCTCCACCAGCTTCAGATCGCCCAAAGTGGCCAGTTCCAGGGTGCAGTTTTGCAGCGTGTCGTCTGTTAAAGCATTATTTAAATAGATTAACCCTCTTAAAATGATTTTTCCGGTGAAATAGCAGCACTTACTGGTCTGATTCACAATCAGCACGTCCAGCACAATGTCGTATTGGTTGACATTGACGTAGGCCTCGGCGTAGACGGGATCCGAGAAGCCCGTCAGCTGGGTGACCTTGTTCAGCTTGCTGTTCGGCGACGCCACGTCGCTCAGCTGGGCATTCTTGCTGCCCGCGAGCGCCTGATTCAAGCTCGATTCGAAGACATTCTCGCCCAGCTGATTGTCGCGCCCGTTGGAGAGCTGTGCGAAGAGCACCGGATCATCGGGCTGCACCTTGGCGGCGGCCTTTTGCTTCTCCTTCAGCATCCGCTGATCCTCGTCGTGCTGGGCATCCAGCATTTTGCCCAGAGCCTCGCGGCAGAAGAGCGTGAAGACGGCCACAGCCTCGGGGGTGCGTTCACTCAGCGTGCGCAGGCAGACAAAGATGCGATCGGTGTCGTCGTTGGTGATCGGTTTGCTGGGGAAACCGGATTTGCCCAGGTGCAAAATGGAGCTCATGATGAGCATCACCTGGGTGGTCAGGCGATTCTGTGCCCGCGCCTCGGGCTGCAAATCCGCATAGCGCAGCGCCAGCTTGGTCAAAGTGGCGGAGAGGGCGGCGCCGATGAAGAAGTCGCCGTCCATCAAGTACTGGCGCAAAGGCGGCCGCTTCTCGGCCTTGGCCACGCTGCAAAGAAGATAGGTTAGCTGTTGCTGCCACGTATTATTTCGATGAACTTACGGGGCCAGGCTGTAGGCGCTCTGGGTGGCGTAGGTGCCATCGGAGGTCACCTTATTGCTGGCATTGCCTGCGCCAGGGGCTCCCTCCTCCCGCTGCTGCTGCTGCTGCTGCTGCTCCTCCGTCTGATCGCCGGCCAGGCGACGCTGCTCGGCCTCCACCATGGGCACCTCGCCCAGCGTCTGCTGGATGACGGCAATCACCTCCAGGATCTGTGCGCCCTCCACATACTCGCCCAGAATCCAGACGGCGGCGCGATGGATCTTCGACGACTTGATCTGCGGGAAGGCCTCGATCAGATGCTCAATGATCAGCGCCCGCAGCGCCGGGAACTTTTGTATGGCCTCGCGTATAAAGACCAGCACATCGGCGGCAGCCAGTTCATTTGTGTCCGACAAGAACTCCACCAGTACGGGTATTACATTGGCGGCCACGTCGGGGAACTTGATGGAGCAGGTGTGCAGGGTGCGCACCAGCAGCTGCCGGTACTTCCCGGTGTCCTCGTGCTCCACGTTGTGCGTTTTGGCCACCTCCTTCTTGAGGACCAGCACCATTTCGCCGATATTCCGCGAATAGACTAGGTCCAAGGCCAAAGCGAGGGTTTTCCTGCGAACCTCGATGTCTGGAGCGGCCAGAACACGCAGGACGTCCATCACCAGGTCCTGCATCACCTTCTCCATGCCCTCGTGCTCCTTCATGGCCACCAGGCGGTCCAGGACAATCAGCTTCACATTATTATCGCTCTCCTTGACCACCAACTCGATGTAGCAGCTGGCGGCCGCCTTGATGGCCGTCGGAGCCAGCGAAAGGGTAATCAACGTGCCCGCCGACTCGTATCTCACTGCATTCGAGCTGGAGTTGAGCAGATTGTAGATGCAGCGGATGAAGCGCGAACGCTCGGCGGGATTGGCATGGCAGACCTTGTAGATCAGCTCCACGATGACCAGCTGCAGGATGTCGCCAAACGAGTGCACCTGGTCGATGCAGCTGGCCAAATAGTTCAAGGCCCGCTCCTGATCCGCATGGAGGAGCATCAGGAAGGCGTTCCGCTTGCAGCTCATGTCCTGCTGGGTGTCCAGGAAGCTGGCTATCAGCTCCGGGCCATCCGGCACCAGCCAGTCGAAGTTCTTGTAGATGGTGAAGATGGCCAGGACGGCGTTGCGCCGCACATACGAGTGCCGGTGGTCCAGGCAGGCGCGAATGGCGGGCATCAGCGGCTCCAGGAGCTCCGGCTCCTTCAGCTTGCAGAGGAAACGCAGCGTGGAGCCGCGCAGAAACTCATTGGGGTGCTGCAGGTCCTTGCGATACGCATCGCACACCAGGATCATCTCCTGCAGCAGCTTCCCGTCCGCCGAGGTCTTCGGCACAATCTCCCAGAAGATCAGCAGCAGCTTCTTGATCGTATGGTTCTGCACGGGCAGCACGAACCGGATGATGGTCATGATGAGGCCCGGGTAGCGTTCCCCGTTGAGCAGCAGCTTGATCACCCTCTTCAGCGTTTCGATCTTGACGTTCGTGTCGCCCTTCTCCAAATCCTGCTTCAGCTGCATCTCGTTGGGCACCTCGAGGTCCGGCGAGTTGATTATCGTGTAGCACGGCACTTGCGACGTCATCGTGGCACCTGGCTGTGATCCTGATCCTGGTCGGGTTCTCAATATGTATATTTGCTGCGCCTGCTTCCCCGATTTCCAATTCCTTCGCTTTTTCTCTCTCTTCCGACGTGTCACTTGTGTGTGCGATTGGATTGATTTTGGGATTTCGGATTTGAGATGGCACTCGGCCAGGGCTGCAGTGCCGGTTAGCCGGGTTCCAACCCATGGGCTCTAAGCTTTTAGGCGGCCTCTTAAATCGGTTTTATTATTACTTGTACTAATATTAAATGTTTGTTAGGCAAATTAATAATATTATCAAATCTTATCAGTCCACTTGTGTGTGCGATTGGATTGATTTTGGGTTTTGGGATTTGAGATGGCACTCGGCCAGGGCTGCAGTGCCGGTTAGCCGGGTTCCAAACCATGGGCTCTAAGCTTTTAGGCGGCCTCTTAAATCGGTTTTATTATTACTTGTACTAATATTAAATGTTTTTTAGGCAAATTAATAATATTATTAAATCTTATCATGATTTTGGGATTTGGGATTTGAGATGGCACTCGGCCAGGGCTGCAGTGCCGGTTAGCCGGGTTCCACACCAGTGGTTCTAAGCTGTTAAGCGGGCCTCTTAAATCGTTTTTTTTATTACATTTGCTAATATTTAATGTTTGTTATGTAAATTAATAATATTATTAAATCTTATCAGTCCACTTGTGTGTGCGATTGGATTGATTTTGGGATTTGAGATGACACTCGGCCAGGGCTGCAGTGCAGCTTAGCCGGGCTACACACCATGGGTTCTAAGCTTTTAGCCGGGCTTCTTTTTACATCTATTTATATTAAATGTTTGTTATGCAAATTAATAATATTATTAATAATATAAATAAATCGTATCAGTTTAGTGCCAAATTGTATGACAAGATTTAGTTATAAGATATATTTGGTATGGAACTAATAGGCCAGGGCTGGAGTAACTTCACACCATCGGCCAAAGTCTTTATTGGGCAAGCTTCTTTAACAGTTAATTATTTTTAATATTATCAATACACCGGTAACTTATTGGTTAACCAACCAATTGTATGGCAAGTTTGTTAGTTTAATATTCTTTTGTTTTATATCATTTGATTTATTTATATTAAGAAACCAAAGGGCGCTGGTCAGGGATGGGGCGTATGCTAGCCGGGCTCCACACCATTGCCAACTCATTTACCAAACAACAGAGGGCGCCTTTTTGGGCGGGATTTTTGAAAGAATTAACTATTGCAGATTAAAGCAGAATAAAACAAATTTATTGGTTTAGACGTCCATACCACTAATTTTATTCCCACTTATTAGTAAAAAATCTTGTCGTTGATCAATAATTTATTCATTTTGAGGTCTCTATGTTTTAGAGCCAAAAAACAAAATGTTTGGATTTTGTATTTTTGAAAAAGTCAATTTTACTCAAAACTCAGCCATTTGGGCTGTAATTAAATATTTTGATAGATGCAAAAATATGAAGGTTATAAAACTTAGAATGTGATTTACTTCATGTTTTTTGTTTGCTAAAAATAATAATGTATCGCATATGGTTCTTTGAGTACAAAAAATGATCATAGAAACTAAACTATTCGTGCATTAATTCTAAACTATTGAGTTTCAGAATTTTTTAAATAGAATGACTATTAAATTAATATTTTCAGAAGTATTAAAATTAAAATTTTGGTATAGAACTCAAACCTACAAAATATTAATTTTATAATATTTAGTATTAAATGAATACAACAGAGTTTATATTATTTAATACTAAATCAACAATAAACTACATATAGTGTAATTTTTATACAACGAGTATTAAGAGTTAGACTATGGATTTTTTTTCGGTGCCAGTGTTTTTTTGCATTGGGTGGTAGGGTCTATTACCTGGCTGCAGATAGCCTCCGTGCCAGAGGACTGCTGATAAGCCTCCACCGCGGGGCGAAATGGAAATGGAAATCGAAATGTGGAAAAAATCCCCAACCCATTGCGATCCGGGGAGATTCCCCGTCCCAAGCGAGGCTTTTGACCTTGCCCAGTGCCAAGTGTCCAATGCATATATGGCATAATAAACAGTCTAATTCGGTCTCCGTGCGATACGACTAGAAAGATCCCCGAACCCAAACCCACGCCCACAAAAATTGCCTTTATGATCTCGTTCATCGCTCAATTGCCGCCCCCACTCGTTAGCCACCCAGCCACGCCCCCAAAAAAGGCACGACTTGCATTTAAAGCAGGTCGCCAATTGTCGCGAGATGGGGATTAATGTGAAAACTGAAAACTTCTGTACTTAGTGCACTTGGTGGCCTATGGACGCGGGTGACTAGCTAGGTGCACTCAAAATAAAATTAACCCTAAAGTCAAGGAAATCGCCCTACTTTTGTCTTCAAGACAAGCTCGCCCTAAATTTTAGGGTCACATTTTTCTATATTTTTGATTTTTTTTGACGTCATATTTCTAAATTTTAGGGTAATTTTACTAAATTTAAGGGCAAAAATTTCTAAAAAGTAGGAAATTTTCCTAAAAAATAGAAATTAAAAACAAAACAAAAAAACATGTTCAATCATGATTTTTTTTGTATATACGTTTGTATTATGTACTCCTCCCTATATACATATGCAGGCGTTGTGTGTCTTGTATATTGTGAATGTTAAAGGTTTATGTATTTATTATTATGTATTTGCGCTTGGATTTCTTATCTAACCAAAGCCAAATGTGGTTGTAAATGTGGACTACGGGACTGCGGAAGATTGGGAATGTAGAAATTATGATTAGTTAATATTTTATGTTCATGAAAAAAACTTACAATTTTTACTTGTCCGTCGTGAGAATCGAACCCGGGTCTCCCGCGCGAGGAGCGAATGGCCTACATACTGGGCCATTGTAGCACTTAAACTTGCTGTGGCAAACCGAGCATAATATGTAAAGGGTGAAGCGGACAACACATTTGAATACTAATTGCATAATTTTGACCATTCGCGTTTTACTTATTTACATACGTATATACATATGTATATATTTATGCTAACGCAATTTATATTATGTGTAGTAAATAGAAAATAGCTGAATATAAACCTAATTATTTTTAGTTTACTGCTTGCCATCAATAAAAAAAGGAATAAAAAAAAAGTAAAAAAATAAATAAAAAAAAAATAAAAAAAAAATAAAATAACATTAAAAAAAAAGTTTAAAAAATTTTGCTCTGGGACTCGAACCCGCGTCGATTCGATTGCTAACCAAGTGCTTTAACGGTCTGCGCCACGAGTACAGCCGGCCGGCAGCTGACAAGTTCTGGCATTGAACATTTTGGTGTGCCAGAGCATGTGAAAACAACTATTTCTATTTTTTAGAAAAACTTTCTACTTTTTAGGAAATGTTTCTATTATTTAGGGTTAGCTTAATTTTAGGGTTAGGGCACTCATTTTTAGAAAAGGTGTTGCCAAAATATTTTATTATTTTCGTTTGCCTTTCTATTTTTCAGAAAATAATTTCTAATTTTAAGGGCATTTTTTCTAGATTTTAGGGTGATTTTAGTTCATGGTAACCATTTTCTACATTTAAGAAAAACTTCCTGGATTTAAGGACAACTTTCTTGACTTAAGAAAAATTTCCTAAGATTTAGAAATAACTTTCTTGTATTTAGAAAAAAGAAATTTTAATGGCGATTTTCTAAAATTTAGGGTTAAATTTATTTTGAGTGTGATCGTGATCCCATCGCATCCCATCGGCCTGGGGAACAGGTTCTGTGTGCCCGGACTGAATAAACAAATCCCCTGATAGCGAAGCGAAAATAAAATAAATAAAACTAGAGACGATTGCAAATTATGAAAATATGGTGTTGCTTTCGAATATGGAATACCCTCACTTTAAAATATTAAACCAAATTAATAATGGTATATGATAAATATGATATGATAATAATAATATATAAAAAATATATTATGATAATAATGATATATGATAAATATGATACGATAATAATGATATATGATATGATAATAATTATCATGATATGATCAGGATATATGATAAATATGATATGACAAATAAAGTTTAGTAAAATATTATTTAGCGCATTATTCAAGCTTTTTTAATATAATATAATACAAATTATAATTAACTAAAATCTTAAAAGCATACAAATTATTTAATCAATAATCACAAATAGATTTAAAGGTAAAATCACACTTTTAAACTTAAATACCACACCCAAAAAAAAAAAATCATAGGTTCACTCTTGATAATTGTTGCATTAAAAATATTATATCATAGTTTCCTTTAAAATATAAACATATTATCACAAATATGTTTAAGGATAAAATTACAGATTCAAAGTCCAAAGTTTTCCTTGTTTCTTACTCTATAATATGCTCCTAATAGAGAGAGTATAACTGAAAGGCAATTACTCTTAATTTGTTTACTTCCAAGAAAAGCGAATTTAAAGCAGCCAAATCATTAGATGAATGCAAATCAAAACCGAGCAAAATCTGAGAAAGTGAAAAATAGAATTGCAAAAAAAAAACGGGGATCGAGCACAATGGAAACCAAGTTAATGTTGCTATAGCTCTCTAGTTTAGAATAAGTATACCTTTTGGGATAAGGGCTTAAATCATATGATTAATGGCCTGTTGAAAGGGGAGGGTAAGATGAGCAACCCCTGTGGGATTAACTTAACCGGTTAAGGCAAAGATATATAAAGTCCCAGTGTCAAATAGAGCTTATACACAGAAAAAAAATAAGAAAAGATCAGGTTGATATGAGCAGGTTAATTTAATATTTTTAAAAGATCAAGATCTTCATTTCATTTTAATACGAATAAAGATAAGGTTTATCATATTTTACAATGTCTGTTCAAAAAATACTACATTTGGTATTTTAAAAAAGTATTTTAATAACTTTTATGAAATGATAAAACATTAAGTTGATATGCGTGAATTATAAATTTGATATGATTTCATATCGGCTTTTTATTGTTTATTATTTCATATAGATTTTTTTTCTGTGTACATCTTGAGATCAGTCTTCTAATATATAGAGTGATATAGAATATATATAGAGTGTACTGTATGCAACGATGGAATAGGCGATCAAGTGCCGCCACAATTAATTAAAGAGGGCGGCTATTCTCTTAATTTTCCGATCGCCTCA